CCACCCCACCCGTGCATACATGCACCTACCGGCAGCCACAAACAAGCATGTCCTTCCTCCGCAAGTTCACATAAATGTTATTACATGTCCCACCCCACCCCACCCCACCGATGTATACAAAACACCATGGCCTTCTAAAGGCCGTAGTCCAACTATTTGGCAGCTATTTGGTAGCTATTTAGGAGGTATTTAGCAATTATTTAATAATTATTTTGCAACTATTTGGCAGCCATTGCAGCTACTTAGCACGTATTTAGCAGCTATTTAGCAACTATTACGCAGCTATTTAGTAACAATTTGGCAGCTATGTAACAGCTATATATTAATTATGTATATATATATATTTCTATTCTATTCTATTATATCATATCATATCATATTATATCATATTATATCATATTATATTATATTACATTATATCATATCATATATCATATCATATCATATCATATTATATTATAGTGTATTATATTATATTCTATTATACTATATTATATTATATTATATTATATTTTGTTATATTATATTATATTATAGTATATTATAATATATTACAATATATCATATTATATTATATTATATTATATTATATTATATTATAATATATTATAATATATTATAATATATTATATTATACGATAGTGTATTATATTATATTATATTATAGTCTATTATATTATTATATTATATCATATTATATTATATTATATTATATCATATTATATTATATAATATTATATTAATTTATATTAATTTATATTATGTTATATTATATTATAGTATAGTATATTATAATATATTATAGTATATTATATTATAGTGTATTATATTATATTATAGTGTATTATATTAAATTATATTATATTATATTATATTATATTTTGTTATATTATATTATGTTGTATTATATTATATTATAATATATTATATTATGTTTTGCTACATTATATTAAATTATATTATATTATATATCATATTATATAATATTATATTATATTTTGTTATATTATATTATGTTGTATTATATTCTATTATATTATGTTGTATTCTATTATATTATGTTGTATTATATTATATTTTGTTATATTATATTGAATTATATCATATTATATTATATTATATTGTATTATATTATATTATATTATATCATTATTAATTGAATTGATCATTTAGTATCGATAAATATATTGTTTAATGTTGTGGCAAAGAAATATTTTAAAAAAATGCTATCAGATAATTCATCTAAATACTATGTCCATTATTTTCTCTACAATTCATTCACCATGCCGCATGCAAGAAGGACAGCAAACAGCAGGCTTATAACCGCCAGAGTCAATCCTGCAATGAAAGCCGCATACCTCGTTTCGGACATCCACAGGATTCCAGATATCGACAGGTCAAAGCAAAACAACACGTTTTCCAAGCTGCATTTGCTCTGCACTGAGTACGCCAGCCACCAGGTCCTTTCAGGTGAGCCATCCCATTCTACTGGTTGGTTGATGAGATTTAATAGGTAGTGTTAATATGTTAGCCAGGTAATATAACTCACTCTGTTAACCAATCAACAGGAGTATGTATCTTAAATGGCTCCAGTCAGCAAGGATCGCTGCAGCAGTCCAGAACCCAGGCAGTGATCACAGCAGCCAATGTCACGGCAGCAGCCAGATAGAGAAAAATGGAATCTCGCGGCCTGGCGACGTGGTTCACCCATTGAGATACACGGACATAGGCAGATAGTGGCAGATAGAGATAGATTGTACATGGGTCAGAATCGTGGCAAGCAGATTGAGAAAATTGTATAAACGACATTTTTGCAAATTTTCTCATCTGGGAATTTTGGGCACATGGTTCTCAGAGCCATTCAGTGCGCCTCTTGGAGTATTTGTGGCCAGCGAAAACGGCCAAAATGAACTGTCCAGCAAGAACCGACCTGCAAAGCTCGAAGATGAAGGGCAAACTAAGGAAATCCCAGGAAAATGAAGAGCCTGTCACAAAGTCTCAAAGCTCCAGCTGACGTCAGCTTCGTTCGCAATTTTGACCAGAGCTCCAGGAGCCGAGCAATGAGATCAGCCCCATGACAAATTCAACCTCCATGACGTAGACCTCAGGGATCAAGTTTCAAGGCTCTGGACGGCTCTGGATCTGGATCTAGGCGAGCTGGAAAGCTCCACAAGAGTCACCACCTTCAATTAAGCCCCATACCTGTAAAGCAGCGAAGTAGCTCGCAAGAAGTAGCAGCACACTGGATAGTGAGAGGAAGCAGGCCATTGAAATAGCGCTCTGTGCCCTGCAAGCAGAGGATAAATGGCTAAAGAGCTCTGCCATGACGGTACGCAAATGACCTGCCTATTGGCATAGCAGCCACTGCTCCACTGTAATTTTTGTAGCAGCAAGAACAGCAGGATCAGGCTGAGTTCAGCCCATGCCCATCCTGCCCAAGCTTGCGAGGATCGATAGAATGCAGTTGCTCAGTCGCCAAGCCAAGCAAATGCCATCACCATTTTAACCACACAGAACTTGGTATGCAGGACAACAAGCAATTGAAGGCAACCTGGTGTACTTCTGAATGGGTCGCATTTGTCCTCGAGGATAATCAAACTTCAAATTCTTTGCGGCAAGAAGGACCTACAGGCAAGAACTGTAGACTTCTAGTACAACACACCCCAAACAATATCTTGAGATGACTGATTATTACCATTTTTTGCAACAGTGGGACCCAAAGGGTAGGTATGGGACGATGTGGGTAGATCATGTCATGCTGTCACTGACTGTCATCATTGAACAACTTCAAACTTCAATCTCTGTACGACAGTTCAGGTCCACACAAGGGCTACAAGTCCATTGGCCAACAACCAGCTGCCACCAAGCTGTATAAGCACCTCCACAAAACGGCAAGCATCAGGAATAAATAGCAGGAGGAAGATATCGCAGCCAATTATTGGAGTCGATGAGCTGATGCGAAAAATGCCAGCAAAAGGCACTATCCGAATCCACGACCTTTCCTTTGGTCAATACAGAGTATGAAGCCTTTGCAACAACGCGCAACATATGGCAACTTCCTGTGTTGCAAGCTCGCCTGTAAATGCACAGAACTGTTCGGAGCTGTCGCTTGGGCAGCTACCTCGGATGGAACTTGTGGCGTCGGCCACAGCAACGTTTATGATCAGGGGGGCTTTCTGCTATCCAAACCACTGCGTTGAAGAAACCGTCCTGTACCTTGTACTTCAGATGGGTCAGGATCTACCTTATTTTCGAATTTTAGGATATGTTGGGTTTCTTTATCAAATATTATATTAGTTATAATATATTATATACATATTCTCAAATGACATGTGTTAAAATTGTGGTCTTTGGGGAATCAGATTGGAGAACCATACTGACTGCATGATGTCATCAGGTTCAGCACCCTTGCTGAGTAATGCCGAGGGCCTCCATGAAAGAAGAACTCTTCTGGACGCTAGGTGCAGCAGGAGCAGCAGGAGTCCCCTGCCGTGCAGGACTGCGTCGACATGTCATCACATCCCTAAACCTGGCCACATCTGGCCACTAATGATGAACAAGTTATAACATGTTATAACAGTTACTTTAAGTTCTCCACATTTCTCCACCCTCCCAAATTCTGTGTTCCAGTATCTGCCGCGTCAAACTCAAATCTCAACCTTCTACCTCTCATCAACCTCCCATCTATAAACCTTCCATCGATCCCCCATCACAACCTTCCATTAACCTTCCATCAACCTCCTACCTCCTATCAACCTGTCAGCCTCCTTTCAACCCTCCTCCTAACAACCTCCTACTAACTACCAATTCAATCTGTTTTAAGTTTTCAGCATCACAACTTGGCATTGGCCTTGCGCGCTGCTCCACATTGTCGGCAAAAGTTCCTTACTTGCATCGGATTCCGAGACCAATCACACCAGATTGACAAATCACCGAATGAGAAGCCAAAGTGCATCCAGTGGCTCGGAAAAAGAGTCCCTCCCGAAAGCTTGTAATATCTTGTAACCCTCCAGAGCCGAGAAGCGAATCTGCCATAAAGATGTTCCCGCAACTGTCGCAAACCTGTGAAAGCTTGGAGGTTCTTGAAGACATGTTGTTGTTAGAATCAAAACTTTGTATTCCCGCCTCTGCGGGTGGGATATCCCGTGGCGCCTGGAAAGCTGGCGTTAGTCTTGAAGACACATGGTGCTCTGTATTTCTTGGTGCTTCGACAATTGGGGTACTGTCAAAAGACCTACTTTAGTGGGGAAACGAAGGATTTGAGTGATCCCTTTGTTGTTTTTGGACACAACCCAAAAGGTGAGAAAATGATGACCTGCCAAATGATGGAAGAAGTTATCAATAGCCCTCTGGGACAACGTGGCCATGTTAGGTCTCAGGCAGGAGGTGATGGCACATCATTCTCCTGTCCTGCCGAGGTCAGCAGAATCCGCCCGATATATGGGGGGGTTGTGCTACGGGATGTTTTTGTTGACCTTGTTTGGAAGCCTGATGTTATCTGATGTTTATCTGATGTTTATGTTACGTCAAACCATGTCAAACCTTGTTTAGCCCAGACAGTTCAACAATGCTTGGTGGAATCCTGCGTATCTTACCGCACAACACACGCCAAAGCTCTTGTGAAAGCACGTCATCAGGGAAAGCGCAAATTTGAAAAGGAATGCGGACAACACAAACCGCAGAGGTGGTGAAACGTTCAACCAAGCATATTAATGCATATTATAGATTCCAAGAACATGGGACCAACGGTCACAATCTCACAAGATATTGTTGCCCCTTGCTGCCCATGATCGCTGAACCCAATAAGTGTCAGTGGGCTTTTCCTGGCATGAAGGGTGTTGTGACTTCGGCCATGGCTTCAGTTGAAGTGGGGAAGGAAATTAGGGTGCTATGGCTCAGGATTCCAATTTGTTTGACCACAAACAGCCGGATCATGCCGGATCTGTACTAAGTTCGCTAAGTCACGTCTTCACTAAGTCGATCAGCCGAATCATAGAAATCATAGGATGCCCGGGATGCCCTGTGGGATGTCAGGCATTGCTCAGGTGGATCGAGTTCACAGCCGGCACTTTGGCCGGGAGAATGATATTGAAATGGCTGCTATGTCGTAAGACCAGATCTTGATCAATGATACCGGGCACAGATCCATATGTGATAATCTATTTAATTTGCTATTTGCAGCTCGCTCTGGATTGCTTCTGCAGCTGCCAGCCATGTTGAAGCCACCGCTTCACTGTGCCCTATGCTTCCTACTTGAATTTCAATGACTTTCTCAGCAAGCCCAAATGATAGACCTTTCAATACAGTCTAGAATTCCACAGCTCCTTGCAACAGCGCGCTTCACTGAGATGATGGATGATGGTGATTAATGGTGAACACTTGATGAAATGCCGGCAGGAGAATCATTTTCCATCAGGCCCTTGGTCGATTCCCTCCAGTCGTGGCATTGAGGCTACTGTAACAGCTCCAAAAGACAGTCTGTAGCTGGGTCCAGAAGCTGCCACCTGGCAACCCCGCTGCTGTTTGCTCAACAAACCTTTTGAAGACATGAGTCACCCCAGACCCTCTTGCCTTCGGAGCTTGCAATGGGCCTCAGAAGTGGCGGGACTGGCTCCGACCAGACTCCTCCCATCCGATTTGACAATCACGGCAAACGTGAACCTGTGGGTGTATCCGAAAATGGGGCGCACCCCCCCAAAAGGTTCTTTTAATAGGGAAAATGATGATTTGGCAATGAAATTGGGGGTGCCCAATTCTCAGACCAACCCATATGTCGATGTATCTGCAAACACTTGTATTTGCAATGCCTGCTCACTGCAGTCACATTTTTTCACTATGCATCGATCAAGCAATTTCTGAAATTTGTGGGCAACATCCACTTCTACTTTCACAGGCGAAGCATCCACGGGGTGTGGCACAACCAACTTCACAGCCTGCAGAAACAAGCCTTGGCCTCGCTTGATCTGCTGAGGTAATTTCGTGCCGTGGCGTTTCAACCATGGCTGTTCTGCCAAAGAATAGATTTGACTCACATCGTTCACAATGGGTGTGCCACTGCAAGCACAATGGATTCGTAGCTGGTGACGCCTGCCTTCCAAAGGCTTTAGACTCACTTCGCTCAGTGCACCATAATGGTCATCATGAACCACTCTTAAAATTCTCACATCGGTATGTGATTCCTTGCCATCCAAGGGCATGTCAACTGAGAATGAATCTCCGACGCTCCCAGCAAAGCCACAAAGAATCGCGCGGTATTCCTTGTGTACCTGTCGCGTGCGAAAGGCGTGATTCAGCGATCGCATAGCCTCCTCAGATGTTGCCACCACCACTGGTCCAGCAACCAACATGTCAAGGCGATGGCAAGGTCGAGGGCCATTCCGGCAAGGTGTCCCCTGTGTAGGTGGTTCAAGGATTGCAGGCAAGTACGATTGAAGCGTCAGATTCTGCCAGGCATCAATTCCTACAGGAGATGTATGCAAGCCTGGTGGTTTATTCACCACAGCCCACGCAGCTTGCAGATCATGGTGTAGGACTCTGATTTGTGCCGATGCGGGTTTTCCTGAATTCCACCTCTCGAGTCTTTGGTCGATAGTCACTGCGCGACCAGACTGAATCAGATTTCTATCTATGAAGGCGGTCAGAACTGATCCTTCGGTGGGTGACAGACTGGAACTTGACATAGTTTTACCGTCCACCAATACGTACCCTCTCCGTATGGCCTTTTTGGCAGTGCTAGGGGTTGGGAAGAGAAGTGGAAAAGCAATATGAGCCAAGCGGTGAAGTGGGGGTTTCGCACTTGGATCTCGGAAGCCTGAGCTTTCCCAGGCAGCTTTCAACAATTCCGAAGTGACTTCCAGAGGTCCAGACTCTGATGGCGACAAATCTTCCCACAAACGTGAAATGCAAAGGTTGGCGACTTTCACACTTGCGTGTCTGCAATGGGTCCATTGGTTCCTCCTATATCTATGAAATGAAGACAAGCTGGTCAACAATGCACTCAACTCCAAAGATCTTTCAGTCAAACGGCAGTGCTGTGGCTTCTTTGCGTGTCTGAGCACCGACGGCGCAATGCTGCCTTTGGTCCCTCTCGGTGCAGTGAGCCACAGCGGATGAAAGCGATCAAAGCCATTTATGACGCGGCTCATCTGGGTATGTCACATTTCCCAAAAATCATCGGCTCCAAAAATTGAAGGTTTAGTACTGGGAGTGGCCCATTGGGCGGGCTGATTAGTAACCCATGTGTGGTTGCAATACCCACCTGGTTCGCTAATAACGTCTGGATTGCTATGGGCAGGACTTGTTGCGATGAGATTCCAGAGAGTGATGAGCCAATTGTTGAGTCTGACCTAACATATAAATCATATAAACCATACGTACTGGTAGATGCATTCCAAAACTGAGGGTGTGTGCACAACCTGAGAATATGACAGAATATGAGTGAATTTGATTGAAAGCAGTGTGAGAGTTGGAAACTATTACATCTTCAACAAGCTGAGAAGAAGATCAGGAGAAATTGAGGCGTCTGATTTCAGGAAAAAAGGGTGGAAAAAACTCACTGGTTCTGCCCTGCGAGACCGCACAAGTCTATTCTTGTTTCGCTCCTGGCCTTCTACAAGCTGAATAAAACGAAAGGATTGAAATGGATTGAATCTGAATCAAAAAAAACATGAAATCATGACATGAAACTGGTCAGAAGTGGTTGTGTCATGTTGTCTCCACCAAGTGCGTGACAGCAGCGGGCAGCTCTTCCGACATGAGCTTCGCGCGGGATGCGATCTGCCATTCATTCTATCTGACAATTAATTTGTCTTGAAAATTGAAATCCATCCGCACAAAATTCAAGTCTCACTTTCTTGTCATCCAGACCTGGGAAGGAAATGAGAGCCGCGATTGGAATGCTGCATAACTACTGTATGTTACTTTCCTGAAACGGGTTCATTCCCGGCATTGCCCATCTTATCCATCTTTATCTGCACCCTGGAACCTTTCAATCATGAGTCAGCAATGTCAGCAAGCTAGGATGTCCAGAGATATCCAAACACGTACATGTTCAAACACACATATCTAAGACATCTAATAACTGACATTGAAATCAGAGAAGAAAACAGCCCTCATGGATGCCTTCCGACCATTTGGGTCACCAGGCTCGCCACCGGATGCCCCAAGAAAAAATCTTGAGAAACGAAGGGTTGAGTTACTCGAGTTCACCGATGTTTCCACGCAGTTTCCTCAAGGCATTTCCTGGCCATGTTTTTCGCCCTCTCTTTGCTGCGGCCATCTGCCATTCAACCAGGTGGTTTGCACCGCACTTAAACGCATCGTCGAGCGAACACACCCTCAACCCCCAGACCCCCAGAGTGAAACGGGAACCCTTGCTACGCATTCGGGAAAAAGGTTTTCAACATCGCAGTTTAAGATCAAAAATATTCAAAAATTCAAGACATGGAGAGCTTTCGAACTGTGTGAAAACCACCTGGTTTCACAAACATCTATACCCCCCACTCCCATGCCCCCAAGTCATCCCAAGCCAACCACTGGAGAAGGGGAACACGAAAGGTAGGAGGCCAAAACGGGAAGTCGAACAGGTTGGGTGGCATGTCATACTTACTTGGCGATGAAGATGATGCTGGAGTGAAACTGTTCGGCATCAAAATTCATGGATGAAATACAAGCAACGCACTGGGGGCCGCAAGAATGTATGGAACACTTATATATTGGGAATGGGATTGACTCACAAAATATCATCTTCATATCGGGTGGGGGACCGATTCAATATTCGCTATGGGCCCTCTCGTTACAGAAGACATAGTCACCTGTACCTTTGTGGAGGAGCTGAGAAGCGAAACACGTGGCAATGAGGAACGGTTTGAGTTGGCACTTCCGAGAGTGATCGTAAAGGCCGAGCTTTGAGATGAACAGCCCTTGTATGAGGGGTTGAGGAACGGTGCCTAGGAGTGATGCATTTTTTTGGCGGTTTTCAATTTAGGCTTTGTTGTGTTTGACATAATCTGTGGGGGTAAGGTCAACCCGAATTTCAGAGCTGCTGCGCGGGCAGGAGCTGGGAAGGTCAAAAAAACAAAGCAGGAACCAATACCTTCTGGAGGGGAGAGTCGAGAACCTGCTGTGGTGACGGTAGACTGGTTGGTTGCCACATCATGCGTGCAAAAACCATCAAAAGCTGTCGCACCCAAACCTTACAGCATCGCCGGTGTGCAAAGCTCTACAATATCCTAACATATTTTTTCTTGACCCTTGCAAGTGCAGTACATATTCCCTACGGTCCCCTCACATCCCATCAGACAGCTGCCTTTTCGACTCTCAGCGCGTGGTCCTCTTCAGCTAAGTGAAGAAGTCGCAAAGTAGAAAAGCACTTATGGTGATTGCTGGAAACACAGCGAGCCTCCAAAGGACTGAAACCCTTGATATATCATGATAATTAATGATAATTTATGGTATAAATGGTATAAGAACTGGAACACTGGAAATTGAGTTTGGAAACTCGCAGTTCCCATTACACTCACCATGAGTGGTAGCTTCAGCTGGAAAGATTCTTTCCACCAATGCGCAGCACCTGAGGCATGTCCATCGAATGATGCAGCATCAAATGGGGCGCTTGAACGCTTGGGTTGCATATGTATATCAGATCCCCCGGCTGGAAAAAAAGACCAGTGCAGGCTGTTACGAAATTTTATATCCTTCTCATGACTGGTAAAGATCAGACAGAGAGAGGCCCTGAAAACGAATCCACACTTCCCAAGTTCGAGCGACTCCAACTGGGAAAGACACCAGAGTTCAAAGAGCCTGCGATGCCCGGCTTCCCCAGTTTCCTGGCAGGAGAAGCACTTGACATCTTTCTGGAGGGCTCAAATCAACTGAACTGTGTGACTGTGTGGATTGGCCAATGTTAAAGGAGGAGGTTGAAAGACTCAACATTAAAAAAAAAGGGAAAGCGGGCCGTTTCCTTCCCTAAAGGATTGTGATCATCACTTTTGACTACCAGATTTGCTTTACAGCATTCAAACCATCTGGCCTTGCACGTCACCTGCCTCTCAAGCATAAACGTGGTTGGCTGCCTCAGCACAAGCAGCGGGCATCTAATCTGACCAGTACTCTAATCATTGACAACTCCTTGACGTCCTTGTCTCGGGCAATTGGCAACCCGACTTGGCAGCACCACTGAGCCACGGCGTGGATGCCTTGCTCAGAAAAAGCCTCGGCAAGAATGTCGTTTCATGGTCCCAACAGTGTGCAACGCCCTGAAACTTTCTGAAATGAGACTTGGCCTCCGGGCATGAGAGTAAGCAAAAGACAATCATTGTCGGCCAAAGCATGAGCAGATTTGGAGTCGAAACCAGGCAGTGATGCAGCTGTTGCTTGAGAGCATTCATCTTTGAAATTGCAACTCTATAATTTCTTCTTGCACAACTTACTTGCATCTGGAACCAACTTGTATAATTATGTACACACTTTTGTCAGTTGCAACTGGTGCAACATCATCGTCTAAAGCTCAATCAACAGCTGCTGTCAAACCCGGTCAACATGTCCGCTCCTCCTGTAGCCGATCCTTGGAACAGGGCATCATCCAGGACTCGTCCCGGCGCTTCTAACGAGTTTTCGGGGTGATGCCACATTTATATCCAGATTATCCCGGCAAGAGACCCCCAAACAATGTGTAGTTAGTGTACTGTAGTTAGGATTGGCGGAAAGGATTGTAAAGCATGGGGTTCATTCAAGGTGGCCTTTGGATGAAGAGATACCAGGTTAGATTCTGCAAGTTCCCTTTGTGAAGATCTCTGTAGAAGATCGTGCGCAAGATCTCCTCGACAGGTTCTCTGTAGAAGCCCCTGCGCAAGATCCCTTTGTAAGAGTATCTGTACAAGGTGTCTATAAGAGATCTCAACAGAGGATCTGTGTAAGAGATCTCAATGTAAGATCTCTCTTCACGCTCTCTATAAAAGATCTCTGAACAAGATCTCTGTTCTCTTCACCAGGTCTCTGTACAAGATCTATACAAGAGGTCTCCTGGCAAGATCTCTGTACAAGATCTCTATATAAGAGCTCTGTTGGCAAGATCTCTGTAAGAGACCTCTTGGCAAGATCTCTGTTCACTGTCAGTAAATGGATGTTCATCCACTCACATATGGTAAAATAGGTCTTGATCCAACCCAATATTGAGTCTATTTGCCATCTCTGATACCCCGACATCTGCGCAGCTGGCGTCTGGCTTCCAACTCTGAGGTCGCAGCAGTTGTTGCCACACCAGCAGGGGCTGCAACTGAAAATTCCCTTTGGCTTAATAGCCGCGGGATCTTGAACGATGATGTCCTGGCAGAAGGTTCAAGGTGACTGGCAGAGAATTGCTGTGATCACGACTACGGTGACAGCATCAGGATCAGGTCCTCGTCTTCCTCCTCTTCTTCATCCTCCTCCTCCTGCGAAGCGATTCGATCCGGATTTCAGAAAGGACCCATAGGTGATTTTCGCCCTCTACCCTTGACCCAACCTCATGCTGAGGACACTTACCAGTCAATGGGTAGCAACTATTTGAGTTTGTCTGAACCTCGAGTGCCCTCAATTCCAATGCAGTGTCAGCATTTTCTCGGTAATTTTGAGGTATACCCCTGCATTTTGGGACAAATAGAAATCAAGGGTTAGCCCGTCATCAACCTGCTCTGACAAGTCTTTCGGCACCTCTTCCATGACAGCTGTTGGAAGTCCGTCGGCATTGTTCACCTGCGCTTTTTTAAGTCAAAACAAAAATGGACTGTGGTGTCTGTGTGCAAGGCGCGGGGCTAAGGCACGTCTTTTGCCCAGGCGCGCCGTAAAACAGTAAAACCGTAAAATGGTAAATTCCATTGTTCCCGAAAAATGTCCCGAAAAACGGTAAAATCGTAAATGTACGATCTGAGCGTGCCGCTTTCGGATCGTAAAACGGCAAATTTGGTAAATTTGCAAAAATTGCCGTGAACCCGTAAAACTGTAAATTGATAAAATTGTGCGTTAAGCAAACATGTAGTTTCCCAAAATTCAAGGGGGTAGGTGCATTGCTGTTTGCACAGTATGTCTGCAGCCGCATCTTTCGCGCAACACATCTGCTATCACATGAAATGAGCTGAGATGAGATTGGCTCGGGCAAGGCGAGTTAAGGTAAGCTGAGATGACCTGGTGTCAGATGAAACAGAAAAAAATAGAAAAACAAACATGAAAAAACAAGCAAACATGTTAGGAATTTTCAGAGAAGATCTTTCAGCGTAGCATCCATGATCTAATTGAAGTGAAAATTCTGGAGCATAGCCTCAATGATATTAGAAAAATTGAAGAGAAGATCTTAGAGCGTAGAACCAGTAATGTTGAAACATTTAAGAGAAGATCTTGGAGCGTAGCACCAATGATAGTAGAACGGTTGAAAGTTGAAAAGAAGATCTTGGAGCGTAGCGTCACCCATGTTAGCAAATTGAAGACAAGACCTGCCTAGCATCAATGATGGTAGAAACTTGAAGAGAAGATCTGAGAACGTAGAAACCATGATGTTAGAAAATTGCAGAGAAGATCTTGGAGCATAGCATCAATGATGTTTTAAAAAAATCTGAAAGAGCAGCGTCCATGATGTTAGGAAATCTCAGTAAAGACCTTATGGTAGAACGGTTGGAAATTAAAGAGAAGATCTAAGATATTCTCAGGGCGTAGCATCAATGATGGGAAAACGTTGGCAAACTGAAGAGAAGAACTTGGAGCGTAGCATCAATGATGTTCGAAAATTGAAGAGAAGATCCTGGAGCGTAGCAGCAATGAGGGTAGAGCCTTTGAAAGTTGAAGAGAAGATCTTGGCGAGTAGCTTCAATCATGTTAGCAAGGTGAAGAGAAGATCTCACGGCGTAGCATCAATGGTGGAAAATTTGGGAAATTGAAAAGAAAATCTAGAGGTTCAAAGCCGTAGCAACAATGATAGTAGAAACTTGCAGACAAGATCTCTGAGTGTATTCCATGATGTTAGATAATTGAACAGAAGATCTTGAAGCTCCACATGAATGATGATGTTTGAAAACAGAAGAAGATTTTGGAGCATAGCAGTGATGATGTTCAAAAAAAAACTGATAGAGTAGCATCCATGATGAGGAAAATTCAGAGAAGATCTTAGAGGGTAGCAGCAATGATGGTAGAGCGTTTGAAACTTAAAGAGAAGATCTTACAGCGCAGCATCAACGATGGAAAATGTTTGAAAGCTGAAGAGAAGACCTAGAGGTTCACAGCCGTAGCATCAATGATGGTAGAAACTTGAGGAGAAGATCAGAAGGTATAATTGAGCAGAAGATCTTGAATCTCCGCATTAAAAAAACGTAAATCGTGAAAGGCGTGCGCAAGCGAATGAAATACGATGCAAAACAGTAAATTGGTAAATTCATGTTCTGTGTGCATAGCGTGAGCAGGAAAAAGTGGTAAAGCCGTAAAAGCGTAAAACCGTAAAAGAGGTGTGGAAGCGAAAGAAACCAAAGTAAAACCCGTAAATTGGTAAACTTATGAACAGGAGAAGACGGTAAAGCCGTAAAATGGTAAATGCGTAAAGTATCAATGTACTACAGCGTAAGGAGCAAGGGGTGCTAAAACTGCAAAAAAGGTAAATTCGTAGTTGTATCATGACACTACGAGGTTAAAATTTACCATTGCCCGGAGAGCGTTCTCTCCGCATCATGCCTTACACAGTGATGCCCAGGACCCGGCGACCTTGAGGTCGGAATTGGCAATTCCACTGGGGCTTTCCGCCGCAAGGCCTTACTCGCCGTCACATGGCTTGGCTTCACCATGCGCAAAACCATGGGTGATCAATGATTAATTCTTGAACATGACATCTGTGAGGATGCACAATTTGGATCTGTTACATTGTTTTTGTGAGGGGATCATCCTAGCACGCATCTACATAGCCAGGTGCCTTTCCGAGTCAAGGAAAGGGTGGGAAAAATATCCGTCTGACGGTCTCAAAGCTCAAGTGCATCAATATGGGTCTGAAATTTGGTTACCCAAAATATTTCATGTGTTCAATCATTTTTTCCCCTTGGGGATACCCAATTATACCCAATTTTTGAGACAATCCCAAAACCCCCCACATCTCTCCAGGTCTATGCCATCAGGTCACGCTTGGCTTCTGCCTCCCTCTCTTCCTCTGCCTTCTTTTCAGCCTGGCAATTTCCGGCCACCCGACCACCCTGCATTGGTTCTGCTGATGGGAATTTGTAGCATGGATAAAAGAACATTCTCCATCAAACCTAATTGGTAGTGATATAATGTATGTATATATATATATAGTATGTATATACATAATACATATATATATATATATTTATTTATTTATTTATGAACATCTATGTATATATGTATTTATATATATATATATGTGTGTGTATTATTATATATATATGTGTGTGCATTATTATATATATATATGTGTATTATATATATATGTATATATATATTATATTATATATATATATGTATATATGTATTCATATTTATATTTATCTATATATATATATGTATATATCCATATAGATATATATGAATACATAAATACGTGACCCCATAGACCGATAGAAGCATCAAGTAACACCGGTCATTCAAGTGCCAAACTCCCGATGCCCGCCTCATGTTGTCTATGGCAGTCGGGAGGAACTGCAAGACCATTTGAGACGAACCAGTCGTAAGCCTTGGGACCCAAGGCCGGAAGAACAAGGAATGCATCTGTCGAGATTCACTGAACCCATCTGTCGACCCCATTCGGGATGGAGGTCATCAAATGCCGCCTCCGGAAACCTGCCTCGATCGTGAGAGCTGAATACTTCCCCCCAAGTGACGCTGTTCTAAGTCCGATGCTTCTGGAGTGTACTCCAAGCTGCAATTTTCCTGGTTACAGCAAGGGACAGCCTACCTAATCCCTGAAGAGGGGCAAGCATGCAATGCAAAGCTTTGTCTCATCTCGGCCAAGAACGAAACGCTGTACAAGTTGAAACAGAAATAGCTGTTAACAGATAAATCATATAGTGTACAGTAAATTGCCATGGCATGTTTATGTATTACATAAATATACATACATACATACATACCATACCATACCATAACATAACATAACATTACATTACATTACATACATACATACATTACATACATTACATTGCATTGCATTGCATTGCATTGCATTGCATTGCATTGCATTGCATTACATTACATTACATTACATTACATACATACAATAACATACAATACCATACCATACCATACCATACCATACCATACCATACCATACATCCATACCATACATACCATACATACCATACATACCATACATACCATACCATACCATACCATACCATACCATACCATACCATACCATACCATACCATATACCATACCATATACCATACCATATACCATACCATATACCATACCATATACCATACCATATACCATACCATATACCATACCATATACCATATCATATACCATACCATATACCATACCATATACCATACCATATACCATACCATATACCATACCATATACAATACCATATACAATACCATATACCATACCATATACCATACCATATACCATACCATATACCATACCATATACCATACCATACCATACCATACCATACCATACCATACCATACATACATTACATACATACATAGATACATACATACATACATTACATTACATTACATTACACATTACATTACATTACATTACATTACATATTACATTACATATTACATTACATATTACATTACATATTACATTACATATTACATTACATATTACATTACATATTACATTACATATTACATTACATATTACATTACATATTACATTACATATTACATTACATATTACATTACATATTACATTACATATTACATTACATATTACATTACATATTAATATTACATTACATATTACATTACATATTAATATTACATTACATATTACATTACATATTAATATTACATTACATATTACATTACATATTACATTACATATTACATTACATATTACATTACATATTACATTACATATTACATTACATATTACATTACATATTACATTACATATTACATTACATATTACATTACATATTAAATTACATATTACATTACATATTACATTACATATTACATTACATATTACATTACATATTACATTACATATTATATTACATAGTACATTACATATTACATTACATATTACATTACATATTATATTACATAGTACATTACATATTACATTACATATTACATTACATATTACATTACATATTACATTACATATTACATTACATATTACATTACATATTACATTACATATTAATTCATTAAAACATTAACACGTCATTACCTTGACTATTACAATACATTTTAATATTACATTACATATTACATTACATATTACATTACATATTACATTACATATTACATTACATATTACATTACATATTACATTACATATTACATTACATATTACATTGCATATTACATTACATATTACATTACATATTACATTACATATTACATTACATATTACATTACATATTACATTACATATTACATTACATATTACATTACATATTACATTACATATTACATTACATATTACATTACATATTACATTACATATTACATTACATATTAATATTACATTACATATTACCTTACATATTACATTACATTTTAATATTACATTACATATTACATTACATATTACATTACATATTACATTTTACATATTACATTACATATTACATTACATATTACATTACATATTACATTACATATTACATTACATATTACATTACATTACATTACATTACATTACATTACATTACATTACATTACATACAGTTTTACATTACATTACATACAGTTTTACATTACATTACATACAGTTTTACACATACAGTTTTACACATACATATATATATATATATATACATACATACATACATTACATTACATTACATTACATTACATTACATTACATACATACATACCTGCATTGCATTGCATTGCATTGCATTGCATTGCATATTGTTGCATATTGTTGCATGCTGTTGCATGTTGTTGCATGTTGTTGCATTTTGTTGCATTGCGTTGCATTGCGTTGCATTGCATTGCATTGCGTTGCATTACGTTGCATTACATAACAGAACAGAACGTAATAGAACAGAACATGACATAACATAATATAATATATATATAATTATATATATATTAGTCTACAGTAATACTGATACATATACATATAAATATATATATATACACAGCATATATGCGTACAAGTACATGTTGGACACCGTTGAATCATCAGCACCGCGCCTCTTTGCTCTTGGATGGGTTCCAAATCTTCCCCCGGGCACCCATAAGTGAGAGCACCTGCTCAGCTGTATCTCCCCCAAACTCATGCGAAATCCTGAAGGGTTTCCACTCGACAATCAGCCATGAAGTTGATCTTGGCAGGGATTCCCAAGCTTTAACTTGGGATATCTTGGGATAGGCATTCACTCCCTGGCCTTGTGAGATCCCTCAACTGGCTTGCTGGTGCCACCTCAGAGCCGAGCCCAGCTTTTGATCTCTGGATTTTCGCAGAGACTCTGAGAGCACAGCTTTCGGTGGATCCTTTTTCAAAAGGGGGGCCCTGTCGCACAACGACTTCACTTTGCATCCGTGCCAGAAAGTGTCCCTAAAAACGTCCGTGCCTGTAGAGGGAAGGGGAAAAAGGTTTTGATCATCGGTCTGCTTCCACCTCAGCACCCCATGTTGATCGTCCAGACTCTCCAGGCTTTCTTGCAGCTGTTCAACCAAATGGATGGGCGCTTCAATACCGGGCATGAAACCATCAACCCACAAGGGGACATATGTTATATGGTTGTTTCCATTCTGAGAGGGGGGCCAAGATCTTCCTCTAGCTGATGATGTGCAAAATCCTCAGGGAGTGAGAAAAATCAACTGCTGAACTGCCGACTGCTGGCAACAACTACTAAGCCCAAGCAAAAAATATAGCTGTTTGACTGAAACATTATCATAAGCTGTACTGCAAAATTGATAGCCATCCCAGCCTTCTTCAGGTCATCCAAATTATCCAAAAGTTGCAGCTTTTGCCTCGGAAAAGTTCGCAGTGCTCAGCGGGTGTGCTTCGCAACATAGCTAAAAAGAAGAAACAAATTGTATGAGGCCCCGGCTTCTGACGGTCGGTCAGAATGCCTTTGACCTGTCATGGACTCAAAAGAAATGGATTTGGCTTCAAGTAGCTTTGGGAGGTAGATAAATTAAGGAATATGAGTGGATCATTTCAAATATTTGTTCTTGCAGCAGTTGCTACGAGTCTCGGCAGTTCAAAAAAGCTCTACAACAGACTCCAAGCATTTACCCTAGCTTTCTCACAGGCTTCAGCCTTTTTGCATCTTTCTTTTTGCATCTTTTTGCCTTCCGGTGCAGTTGCTTCTCAATCCTTTGGCCAATTCTTGCCAGCTCGGCCCAGCCCGCAATCGTGCTAAGTCCACTGGACATGTTGACCACGTAGAATCTGCCAGGAAATTCAGCGACATCAAAACTACACTTCAGAGAGCTGGGCTGGATGCCAAAAAAAAATGCGCCTGAAAACACGACCAATGTAATGATGGCTCATAACCTGGCTGACAAATGAGGAACCATGATATGATCACATAGAATCGATATGGCTTTGTCTGAAAATGTTGGGAAAACTGCCAGAGTCTCATGAGTTCTCATGGTTGATCATCATGTTCTGGTCTACTTCATGGCCGTCTTGAAGTATCCCATTTGCATCACTCGCTGGGAAGAAGATGAAGGTGTGCTTGCTGTTTCTGATCAAAACATGGCTCGAAGGACCGAGTAGATCTGAGACAAAGCCGAGATTGGAACGCCAGAGATTCCAAGACCTAGGCTGAGGGCCACCTCAACAGCTCCGGCCTGGAACTTCCAAGTGCTTGGCACAGAAACAAATAGAAACAATACAATACAATCGTTTTTGCAAGGTTTGCTTGCCAGACCATGGTGCCTCTTGAACGTGGACACTCACACGTTTCAGGGAATCTCCTGTTGCATACGATCGATGACCAAGGACGCAACCCTTCAGGTCGACGACGAGGCAATTGTTCTCAATCTTCCCAGGCCTTGGTGTCGGACATGCCACTTCAAGGAGAGCTTTCTTCCCTGCTTTCTGGGGTCTCCGACACAACCATGTATCGGACCATATACTCCATGCAAAAGATCAACACCTTGATGAGTCGCTCAATGCCTGCTTTCTTGTCCTAAGCCAAACATCAGCTGCTGGAAAAGAACAAAGCTCCCTTCTGAGGGGATAAGAAACATGAAGAAACCTCATCACAGTTTTCTCTTGAGGGATTTGGGGCAATCTGTGGCAATCTGTTCTGGCTAAACTCTAACGCAAGGAATCAGCACGGAGAATCCTTGCATATCAAGTACTTGACCTGCAGTACATGCGCTGGAAATGTATTGTCCACACGGACAGTCCTTGTACCACTCATCTGGAATGCGATTCGCTCTGCAGACAATTGTGGGCCTTGCCAAAATCCATGTCAAAATGGACAAGTCTATATGAGACTCTTCCATCTTTCTTATCCTCCAAAGCAGAGATGTCAGCACTGGCACTATGCAAATGCAGTGCGGGTTTCACAAACGGCCTCAGTCCATAGTCTCGTCCGCAGAAGTAGACTACGCCGTACCTTAGAGCGTCATGAAGATTCAGATTTGGCCTCTTTGCAGCTGGGGCAAGAACGCATTTATTTACAGTGGTCTTTGTCACTGTAATGCATTGTGATGTGTATGGCATCTTGGCGTGTCCTTGTCTATGCATACCTATGTAGGCGTGTGACTTGTGCATGTGCATGCATGTACGTGGGTGCACATGCGGTTGCGCCGCGAATACAAACAGAAAGCTAACTCCTCATTGCAGTAAACTTGGTTTGTAAGGGAGGCCCGAGGTGGTACTTTGATATAGCTGCATCACAACGCGCACAAAGCCACAGATGTCAAGAATAAACTGAATCTGTTTTGGCTAATCCAGAGTTTCATGGATGTATGCAAAGAATCTTCAAATGGTTTCAACCCTGTCTCATTGCAAATTGGGGGTCAACAAGGTTCCAATAATTAAGAAACCAGTTGATTCTTGTTGCACGTTCATATCATGTCGGCAGTGCGCATAAGACTGCATAAGTATGCAATGGTATAGCGGGTCCATGAATATCTAATTCGGAAACGGTGTGCTTACAAATGCGAAGTCCTCGAAGAAATTTGTAGGATTTCAGGATAGATAGATAACATGCCTGCTGCATTTTAACCACTTGAAGTGCAGTAAGGATAGCGCTTCAAGTCCTCTTTGACTTGATCGTCAGAGACTGGTCCCACCTGTTAGCAAGATCCAAGTCCTCAAAGCCTCTGTGCAATTTACTCTTCCCCTTTACATCCGCACTTCCACCATCTTTCCATCGAATCCTCAAGCTGTTCTTGAACCAAACTTCAGTGTCTACCAATGTGACATGCATCGAACATGTTTCTCGAACCTTGAAGTAGTCCGCCTTCCATTCCTGGGTTGCAAGCATCAGCTTAATGGCCTGCCAGCTGGTAAGCGGCATGCCAATTGTTTTGTCAGCAAATAATGGACCATGTTGATGGTTACCTGCCAATGTATGTATGTGTATATATATATATAGATATGTGTGTGTGACTATGTCTATATATATATATAATTATATATACTAGTATATATATGTGTGTGTGTGTCCAAATGATTGGTTTACAACCATTATATAATTTCATATAATTATATATAATTATATATATACATATATATATACATGTATGCAAATATATATATAGACCTTACCAAAAAAGTCATGCCTTGTGAGGATCTCCACGAGCTCGGCTCAGAAATCGCCCCGCCATAATCACCTGGCAGGTAAAACCAGCAGCAACGCGATATTTGTTGGGGGTTAATTTAGTAGATAGCTGCCCATTTATCACTTATTTCAACTTATTTCTCATTAGCTTATCATTGCCAAGTTTTGGTGATGGCCATTTTTCTATGTCTTTTGTTACCTCACCATACCTCAAAGCAAATGATTCAACCTGGCAACACTTGAAGAATACAATAGATACTTGACAAAGTTTGCTTCACACCAAAGGCAGGCCAGGAAGGCAATGGATGGGAAAAACTCCAAGCCTTGCTTCGCTGCCTCTTCCTGCTGCCCATGACTTGTCATCCAGGGTCAGATGGTTAGAGGTACTCCCATCCCCCCTCGCACTTTGAACGGACCACAAAACGAACAAATACTATACCGACTATGCCAGGATTTGTTGATGATTCTGGTGGGGGGTAAAGGAGTACAAGTCTCTCAGACATTCGGAAAACATCAGAGCTGATGGGAAAGGACCACCTCCCCCACTCTCTCGCGGCCTGCAAAGCCTTGATACTTGCTGCCTCCTGGGGTAAATATCTGCCAAAGAAGTTTGTTTAAAATTGATGGGAACTCCCCTCCAAAAAAAACACTGTGCATCAGTCTATCATGTTTTGTTCATTAAAATGCTATAAATTCAGGGTAGCCGGGGTAGACCGTATACCCCATTTTCAGACAATTGAAATGGCAAGGGGGCATGTCAGGATTCAATCTGTGCTCCGCTGCATCCTCGTCTGTGAGCTCGATGTTGCAATAGATCTTTCGCTCTCTGTCGCCGTTCTTGAAATTACCTGGAAAGCCAAACATATCTGTGAGCTGGTTTTTTGGATCAGCACAGAAACTATATCCCCCGAACTTGCTGAGACTTCAGCTGACAACCATATCCGGCTCCGGCTCAAAGGTAAACGCCTGTGCAAGAAGATCAAGAATTTGATGTTTCTTGCAAATTTTGAAACGTCTGCCCCACTTCGGATCTTCCAAAAAACACCGAAACAGATTGAAAAGTCTCATTCTTCAAATGTCACTGTTTTTTTCACCGAAAAATGACAATAATCCCAAGAACCCCAAGGAGCTCAGGATTTCTTTCATCGCAAACGTCATTTCTCGCCGCGTTGTGAATTCACCTCAACAGGCGTCGTGAAGGGGCTGATGTTCTCCTCCTGTGGCAGCGCTTGGCTCTAACCCAATATCATATATATATATATATACAGATACATATTTATAATAATATATATATATAATACATGCACATTCCACTATAATACTACCTATAGTGATTAATATATAATTATATCAATAAGAACCACCGTACGACTTGATGCAAAGACATTCTGCTCCACTTGTCTGTGTGCGACGGAAAGCTACATAACGACTTGGTCGAACTACACTTCAAAAATGGCGATGGTTCCACAGAAACCCAAGTATACGTACCCCAAATTACATAAAATGGGATGGTCTTTAGAGAATTAAAAAGGACACTTTTGGAAGATTCTGTTTGCATTTCAGGCCACACTCTTTGGTTCTTATTAGTTGCGTTCTGCACCTTCACAGAAAGATAGGCTGGCTCTTCGATGGTCCTGGCACACTCGCTTCGCGGAGCATCATACTCCGATGAGGTCTCAACTGCTCAGTCAAGTTCCACATGTCTAACAACAATTCCGACCATTGGCCCACAGCAAACCAGGCCATCAAATCTCCTGAAGCCATCCATCATTGGACCCTGCGCAGCGGTATGCTCTGGAGATACTGGATGATGTTGCATGGTATTGCTATCTTGAGTTCCAAATTGCCGGATCTGCATGGTCTTAAGATCATCACTGTGAATTTGTAATAATGTCGTCGTCCTCGTCGTCATCATCATCATCATCACCATCATCATCATCCAAATGACCAACTCTCACGACTCAGGCCTTCTTGAAGCGGCCTGATGCAGTGGGGCAGAGACGGTTAGGACCCCCTAGTTATGGCCATTTTACAGGAGTTGGGGGTAACCTGTGCTCAGAGAAACCGAAATGATGATGGAGATGATGGAGATGATGGGGATATTGCTGGATTGTAGAGATTTAAATCTCCGCCGGTTTCAAACGCAAGAGTAGTGCACGTTGTAACCTGTACGCATTGACTGGGACACTGCCTCCTGCTGTTGCGCTCTTGCTACCCTTCGTTTTCTTCGGCATATCTACTGTACCTCGGCTGCTATTCACTGATCGTCCAGAGGCCCTGATTCTGAAGGGACAGTTTCATAGGATTTCTTTATGTGTTTATTGTATCCTTTTCCACCCTGCTATTGCACACTGGGGTGAGAGGCCCAATCCTACGGTATGCATTCTAGTAATGCTTGTTTGGCATGAAACTTAAATTGTCTGGAACTATTTTGCAGCTGATCAACCAGTTTCTTCCACCAGGCCAATCTGGGTTCATATTGCAAAGGTCAGCAGTATCTGCCAAGTTGCGTGAAGGAGAAAGAGTGCCTGGCAGGATCATGTTGACAAGCAATTCTTGCACAAGTCTCAAAGTACTGCATGTGACATGCTGCCCCATTTTGAAGAATATCAGCAGTTGAAGGCCCTTTAATGGACGAGTAGAGAATGAGAACTCGGCAATCTTCATGAGACACGTCTTTGCCATATCCCAGTGCAAGCCTTGCTCTGTCGCAAAGCAGCAAAATGCTACTTCGTTTTGGTCCTGTCTAGCTGCGGTTTGAGTGGCTCGCACCTGGCATTACGCAAACATTGCACTTTCAAGGCTTGCTGAGTCAAAAGCGAGAGCCAAGGAAACTATATACAGTAGCAGAAGCATGAGGTTCCAGCTGGGAATTTTGAAGCCGGCAATTCAAGGGCTCTTTCACTTCATGGAATCCACGTAAAACAGAACACGTGCCTTTTGTCCAGTGACAACGTGCATGGCCCAGGATTACTGCTTTCCACAATCTAAGCAAAACTGAAAAAAACATGCTCAGCGGAAATCTTTTCGAGACGCGTCAGAAACTTCCTTTGGCCGAGGACTCTTCCGGCAATTCTGGGGCCCAAAACTCGGGATGCTTTTGTGAGGGTCTTGCCCCAGTGGATCAAAGAAGATAGTGCAATATGCTGCTTGTTCTGCCGGCCTTTCAAATCACCTTCGGCACTTTGCATGCGCACTGCGGGAGCGAACTCAATTCATCGTCTGACAACGGGCCATATCACAAACCCACAACGCTCAAACTCATCTGCTTCTTCTATGTGACCAATTTTTAGATTTTCTTGGGGTTGAATCAATGTTTAGGATTTTTGTGTGTTTGTTAATTATATACATTAAATTACGATATTATAATTTACATTGTGATATTTATATACCAGTAGTACCGCACAAGGCGGTGGCGGAAGTTTCAAAAATAGGAAACCTATAGGAGAGATTGGTTGTTGTGAATCAGGGATGGCAGAGCGAAGCCACTGATGGACCGAAAGGTGCTTGAGGTCTCCTCTCTTTCTCTCTCTTTCTCTGACTATCTACCCACCTACCAACCTATCTTCTATGTATCTATCTACCCATCTACCCATCTACCCATCTACCCATCTACCTATCTACCTACCTACCTACCTATCTATCTATCTATCTACCTGTCTATCTGTCGACCTGTCTATCTGTGGTGCAGTGTCATTCAGTGTAATGTAGTGTAGTGTAATGTAGTGTAGTGTAGTGGAGTGTAGTGTAGTGTAATGTAGTGTAGTGTAATGTAGTGTGGTGTAATGTAATTTAGTGTAGTGGAGTGTAGTTGTGTATTCGTAGTTGTAGTTGTAGTGTAGTGGAGTGTAGTGTAATGTAGTGAAGTGTAGTGGAAGGTAGTGTGGTGTAGTGTAATGTAGTGTAGTGGCGTGTAGTGTACTGTAATGTAGTGTAGTGTAGTGTAATTTAGAGTAGTGTAGTGGAGTGTAGTGTAGTGTAATGTAGTGTGATTTAGTGTAGCGGAGTGTAGTGGAGTGTAGTTGTGTAGTTGTAGTGTTGTGTAATGTAGTGTAGTGTAGTGCAGTGTAGTGGAGTGTAGTGTAGTGTAATGTAGTGTAGTGAAGCGACATCTGAACCTCCAAAAGTGGTCCGAAACCCTAGTGCTTTTAACATTTTGACTTCGAAATGTGCTTCGCGCCACAACTGCGTGCACTTTTTCGACATCTGAACCTCCAAAAGTGGCGCGAACATGTGGTGTTTTGTACATTTTGACTTCGAAATGTGCTTCGCGCCACAACGGCGTGCACTTTTTCGACATCTCAACTTCCAAAAGTGGTCCGAGGCTGGTGTGTTTTGTACATTTTGACTTGGAAATGTGCTTCGCGCCACAACGGCGTGCACTTTTTCGACATCTCAACTTCCAAGTGGTCCGAGCCCCTGGTGTTTTGTACATTTTGACTTGGAAATGTGCTTCGCGCCACAACGGCGTGCACTTTTTCGACATCTCAACTTCCAAAAGTGTCCGAACCTGGTGTGTTTTGTACATTTTGACTTGGAAATGTGCTTCGCGCCACAACGGCGTGCACTTTTTCGACATCTCAACTTCCAAAAGTGGTCCGACTGAGGTGTTTTGTCCATTTTGACTTGGAAATGTGCTTCGCGCCACAACGGCGTGCACTTTTTCGACATCTCAACTTCCAAAAGTGGTCCGACGCTGGTGTGTTTTGTACATTTTGACTTCCAAATGTGCTTCGCGCCACAACGGCGTGCACTTTTTCATCTCTCATCTGGCCAGCTGGCTCCGCACCTGCCGCTTTAGCGAGCCTACTTTTCGACCCTCCGGAGCCCCAAATCATTGGAAAAACACAGTGTTTCGCGACTTTCCTACCTTTTCGCGCATTTCCATCTTCTTTCTTCTTACTCTTTCTCTTCTACTCTTCTTTCTTCTAATCTTTCTCTTCTCTCTGCCTCTTCCCTGCTCTGCTTTTGATCTGTCCATATTGTCGGAAGTTTGACTTCTAAACTTCCTTCGATAAATATATATATATATGTTTGTGTGTGTGAACACAATAATGTACATTCTCGTGCATGCACAAGAAACATCAAGAAACGGCATGTTCGAGTCGCATCTCACAGCTACGCACGAAGCCCTTGACGGAGCGAGAGCCCATCAGTAGACAGCCAGGTGAGCAAAGGCCTTGCTTCCCATGATTTCCCATGGGAAACCCTTCGAATTGGATGCTCCAGCATCATGTTCCCTATTTAAAACGCCAACTTAAATTGTTCTTCCCCTCCATTTTTGAACACACCCATCTGTCAGATGTGGAACAAGTATCCGTATATGAGACACTCCATGAGATTGGAATTCTGTTTAGGATGCCAGTCCCCTGTGAAGGATTCCTGTGCAAATGTGAAACCTGCCAACGGAGTCAAGTGATCATCTGCGAGGAAGCATGAGGAGCACGGCTTTTTCGTCAATGGTTCAAGTGGCCGTTGGATCAGTAGTGAATAGAATGAACGAGCTCAGGCAGTCTACCCTATCTGATTCCAGCCTAGCCCAGCCTCTCCTACCCTACCTATCTAAATTATTCTATATTCCCTGATCTTGTTTATACATCTCCTCATCCAAAACACATGAAACTTCTAACCCAAGAATCTGGTTGACAGCTGGAGATCCCAATTGTTGGAGTTAGGTATTTGTCTGAGCGCATCACAGGCCAAGCAGGACCTCAATGAAAAGCTGGTTCTGAACGAAGCTGTGAACCTGGCAGCTGGATAAATCATGATAAATGACAAACCTATAAATCAATGGGACGTCCCAAAACAAGGTGCACTGCTGTGCAAAATGATGTGATTGGACGAGGATGCGCAGGATGCCTCTTTTTGAACCTCCAGGAAAGCCTCCCAAGCATGGAAGCAACATTTCATCAAGTGGCAGGCCAGGTGTTGTCAGGAATGTTGCAGACAGCCAGGCCTCAATGACTCTCAAGTAGAGCTGCAAGTACAAATGAACCTCTTCCACCGCTTTCCGCCAGTAGGACGAAACATGCACTCGCAGCTGCTTCGGCAGCCTACCAGAGCGGAGCACTAGAAGCACAGCGGAACCTGAACCTGTGGCAATGTGTCTGAACCAGTCTGGCTCGCCTTAGGAGGTGGCCTTGCAAGTATGACAGATTTTCCTGCGTCCGAAGCAAGCCCTCCTTGGCCACAATGTTTGAGTGAAATCGGAGACGGTGATGGAGGTGGCACCGGTGAAGCTCCTGCCCTGGGATCCTGACTTGCCGGAAACCGACGAACTCGTCGTCATTCGCAGCCTGGCCACTGCTGATGTTTGCAGTCTGTGTGAATTTCAAGATTTTCCCAAGCATTTTTTGCATTTTTAACCGAGGCATCAAATCAGAGATGAAGAAGCGCCTCCGGCAAAAGGAACCGAACTGCTTCCCCGCTGGTCAGGAGTGCTGCCTGTCCACTGGGCATTTCTGGGCTGCTTTCACTTGCCCCCAGCCTCTTGTGGCAGCCCCCGACATCTGAGGTCTGAACTGAGGATGGCTCCGCTGCAAACCACAGGGCGATGTCCATGAAATCTGCCTGCAATGGGGCTGTCCACTGCGCATTGCGACTCCCGATGATTTCCCTGATGTTGAATAATTTAGAATAGTTTGGAATACACCAGCCCCAGAAAAAAGAATTATCCCGACAAGAGGCCCCAAACAGTGTATAGTTAGGTGGTCTCTGGAAGAAGAAATACCAGGTTAGATTTTGCGAGTTCCCTGTGTGCAAGATCTCCTTGATAGGTTCTCTGTAGAAGCTGCTGTGCAAAATCCCTTCGTAAGGCTATCTGCACAAGGTGTCTATAAGACATCTCCACAGGGGATATCTGTAAGAGATCTCAAGCTCTCTGTAAAGGATCTCTGAGCAAGACCTCCGTTCTCTTCACCACGTCTCTGTACAAGATCTCTATAGAGGTCTCCTGGCAAAATCTCTACAAGAGCTCTGTTGGCAAGATCTCTGTGAGAGACCTCTTGGCAAGATCTCTGCAACAGATCTCTATGCAATGTATCCGTGAGCAAACGTGCATCATTTTGATTTTGGAAAAAGCAGTCACTTGCAGCCACTTGCAAGCACTTGCAGCCACCTGCAGCCACTTGCAGCCACTTGCGGCTGCTTGGGCGAGTGGCTGCAAGTGGCTGCAAGTGCTTGCAAGTGGCTGCTTGAGCAAGTGGCTGCAAGTGGCTGTGCAGCGACTCATAGCCACTTGCCGCCATGTGCCATCTTGAAAAAAAGTGAATTTGTAGACTTTACTTTTTTTTCAAGATTGTCTGTAGTAGACTGCTAGCAGCCATCCACCAGCAGCTACCCGCACCGATTGAAACATAGGTATAAAAGCTGTTTCGGAGAAAATTCAAAGGGCCAGATTGTTTGTATTTGGTTTGTATTTGAGGGCCAGCGCTCACTTGCAGCCAGCGAACTTACGACTACCTGTTTAGTAACTTGTGTGGGTTGTTTAATGATGGTTTACCTTAGTAGGTGATTAACAAGCGTGGTTTGTACGTCGCCGTTTCGCGGGTCATAACATCTTTGAGTGTGTTGTAACTTTGGTTATTGACCGTTTCATCATTGATGTAAAGGGTATACTTTAACTGGTGAAGGTTCGAATTCCATCGTCATACCTGTATCAAATTTTAAAAACCAGGCCCTGCGGAGTTTTGAAGTCGACCATCAATGGATTGGTTGAAGGAAAAATCTCCATCTTAACCAGAATTTACATTTGGTTTCTGCTGTTGTGGTTCTTGTTTTTGTCCGGCAACGACGAGAACTTGCAGCGTATCATCCAACATGTCTGAAGATTGGGGACAAGACCTGACAGCGTAGCACCCAAGATAATTGAAAGTTAAGGACAGGTCTTAAAGCGTGTCATCCAAGATGGTTGAAAGTTAAGGACAAGGCCTTTCAGCATAGCATCAAACATGTTTGAAAGTTAAGGACTAAATCTTACACCGTAACATCCAAGATGCTGGAAAGTTAAGGAGAGGATCTTACTGCGTAGCATCAAGCATGTTTGGAACTTAAGGACAAGGTCTTAGAGCATATCATCCAAGATGTTCAAAGTTAAGGGCAAATTCTTCGAATGTAGCGTCCAAGATGATTGAATGTCAAGGGCACGATCTTACACCGTAGCACCCAACAAGATGATTGAATGTTAAGGACAAAGTCTTACTCCATAGCAACAAAAATCATACAAAATGCTTGAGAGTTCAGGACAAGATCTTCTTGGGTAGCATCCAGATTTTCCAAGAATTTGTTATTTTTCTCTTGTTCTCATTTATGTTTTTGTTTTTGTTGTTAATGTTGTTGTTGATGTTTTTGCATTTGTTTTTTTAATATAATTGTTTTGCTGTGTTCTTGTTATTTTTGTTGTTGTTGTTGTTGGTGGTGGTGGTGGTGGTGTTGTTGTTGTTGTTGTTGTTTTTCTTGTTCTTGTTCTTGTTCTTGTTGTTGTTGTTGTTTTTCTTCTTGTTGTTGTTGTTGGTGGTGGTGGTGGTGGTGGTGGTGTTGGTGTTGTTGGTGTTGTTGGTGTTGTTGTTGTTGTCGTTGTTGTTGTTGTTGTTGATGATAATGATGTGGCTCGTGTTTTTGTTATTGATCTTGTGGTTGTGGTTTTTGCTCTTGTTCTGGTTCTTGTTCGTTAAGGACAGGAACTTACAGCGTATCATCCAACATGATTGGGGGTTAGGGACAAGACAGACAGAATCTTACAGTGTAGCATCCAACATGTTTGAAGGTTACGGACAAGATCATCAAGATTTTACTTCGTAGCAACAAAGAGTTGCAAGTTAAGGACAAAATCTTACAGGGTACCATCCCAGATGATTGCAAGATCGGGCTGCGATCTGACAGCGTAGCATCAAACATGTTTGAAAATCAAGGGCAAGATCTTACGGCGTAACATCAAGGATGAGCTAAAACTAAGGACCTTTTGTTGCTGGTGTTGTAGTTTTTGTTCTTGTTTTTCATTTTGTTTTCCATCTTGTTTTCCTTGTTCTCATTGTTCTATTCGTTTTTGTTCTTTGTTTTGTTCTTTGTCTTGTTCTTTGTCTTGTTTTTCTTTTTCTTCTTCTTCTTCTTCTTGGTGTTGTTGTTCTTGTTTAATGTTGTTTTTGCAAGTTCTGTGTCACATAGGCCGGGACTGTCTATCACACCGGGGGACATTATAAATAATTATATAATATCTTTCAACCAAATATATAGAAAGGAAAATTGCCACTCGTTTAGTCGAATGCTATGTTTCAATCTTTTGAGGGGTTGCCATAACATCTGTCTTTGGTCTTTGGAATTCGCTACGAATTCTCGCAATAAGCCATGATTCCTTTGCACTTGGCATCTCGCGCATTCAAATCTTGAAAAAAAAGTGACACATGCAAACACATTGCTGTTTCAAGTTTTGAGACTTCGATGGAAAGCAGCTGCTCGGACAAGCAGCCACGTAGCCACTTGCAACCACTTGCAGCCACTTGCCCAAGCAGCCGCTTGCAGCTACAAGCAGCCACTTGGAACCACTTGCCGCCACTTGCCCAAGCAGCCACTTGCAGCCACTTGCAGCCATTTGCAGCCACTTGCCCAAGCAGCCACTTGCAGCCACAAGCAGCCACTTGCAACCACTTGTCGCCACTTGCCCAAGCAGCCACTTGCAGCCATTGCAGCCACTTGCCCAAGCAGCCTCTTGCAGCCACTTGCCCGGCAGCCACAAGCAGCCACAAGCAGCCACAAGCAGCCACAAGCAGCCACAAGCAGCCACTTGCCCGCAGACACTTGCCCCGCAGCCACTTGCCCCGCAGCCACTTGCCCCGCAGCCACAAGCAGCCACAAGCAGCCACAAGCAGCCACAAGCAGCCACAAGCAGCCACTTGCAGCCACTTGCCCAAGCAGCCACTTGCAGCTACAAGCAGCCACTTGCAGCTACAAGCAGCCACTTGGAACCACTTGCCGCCACTTGCCCAAGCAGCCACTTGCAGCCACTTGCAGCCACTTGCAGCCATTTGCAGCCACTTGCCCAAGCAGCCACTTGCAGCCACTTGCAGCCACTGGCAAGTGGCTGCAAATGGCTGCTTTTTTGAAAATCAAAGTGCGCACCTTCTGCGCCCATAATGAAATCTCTGCAACAGATCTCTATGAAATGTCTCTGTGCAAGATCTCCATAGGAGGTGTCTTGGCAAGATTTCCGTACAAAACTTTTATCAGATGTCTCTTGGCAAGATCTCTTTTGTAGAAGCTGCCCAAAATCTATAAGGGTTCTTTTGGCAAGATCTCTGTAAGGGACCTCTTGGCAAGATCTCAACAGATCTCTATACAATGTCTATGTACAAACTCCCTATAAGAGGTCTCTTGGCAAGATCTGTCTCAGAGATCTCTGCACAAGCTCTCCACAGGAGCTCTCTTGGCAAGATCTCAACAGATCTCTATGCAGTGTCTCTGGACAAGATCTCCTTTTGAGCTTTTTGAGCTTTTTGAGATCTCTGTAGAAGCTGTCTATAAGAGCTCTTTTGGCAAGATCTTTGTAACGGACCTCTTGGCAAGATCTCGGCAGATCTCTATACAATGTCTCTGCGCAAGCTCCCTATAGGAGGTCTCTTGGCACGATCTGTTTCAGAGATCTTTGCGCAAGCTCTCTAAAAGAGCTCTCTTGGTAAGATGTCAACAGATCTCTATGCAATGTCTCTGGACAAGATCTCTATAAGAGGTCTTTTGGCAAGATGTCTGCACAAGCTCCCTATCAGAGGTCTCTTGGCAAGATCTTGTGGGATCTCCGTACAAGCTTCTATAAGAGCTCTGTTGGCAAGATCTCTGTAAGAGACTCTTGGCAAGCTCTCTGTACAATCCTTGGCGATCAACATGAGCACCGCGCCACAAGAAGAGCGATCTGACACGCCCAAAGTGCCAAGAGGGTTGCGCGAGCGATCTCAAAATTCGCACCGCGCCTCAACGAGAGCGATCCGGCACGCCCAAAGTGACGAGAGGGTTGCGTGAGCGATCCCAAAATGAGCACCGCGCCAGAACGAGAGCGACCTGACCCGCACAAAGTGACGAGAGGGTTACGCGAGCGATTCCAAAATTCGCACCGCGCCTCAACGAGAGCGATCCGGCACGCCCAAAGTGACGAGACGGTTGCGTGAGCGATCCCAAAATGAGCACCACGCCAGAACGAGAGCGATCTGACCCGCACAAAGTGACGAGAGGGTGACGCGAGCGATCTCAAAATTCGCACCAGGCCACAATGAGAGCGACCCGACACGCCCAAAGTGACGAGAGGGTTGCGCGAGCAAATGTTAGATGTTAACAAAACAGCGCGCGCACCACGAATAATGAACATCGAGACTGTCAAAAACATTCAAAAACGGTGTTTTACCTGGTCTCAGCGACTTTTTTTGTCTAGGTCTAAAAAGTACGGCGCCTGCCACGAAAAATGAGCCTGAGGCATCCAAAGCGCTGCACCTGCCACATGTAATCCTCATCATGTCCAAAATCAAATTCGACGATAGCTTCGCAAAGCAAGGCTTTCGACCCTTTCAAAACGTTGTCCAAGTTCACCAAATACTGCGCCTGGCACTAAAAGTGACCACCAAACCCACCTCTCATTTTGACCCACGCCTGCAGACGTTTTAGCAACGTGCACCACGCCTGCCACGCACATCAAAAGTGACCGATGTCCTGCACCTGTCACGCAAAACGACGTTTTTAGCCGAAAGTGCCACGTCTGCCACACAGAATGAACATGAATCAAAAAACGAGCACGGCGCGCTAGTAAAACTGGACCTTCGGAAGAGAGGTCTCCGAGCCACCGTTTCGTGCGAGACTTCCGTCGAAAACGGAAGATGGAGGAACTTTTGTGCTGTAAGTGTCACCAAATTTGCCGGACACGGATGCGCGAACCCTGACTCGAAACCACCACACTAAGATTAGAAACATGGTGTCCATGCTACGCTGAAAGAAGAAGGCCAGTTCCTGTTACAGTACCCATCTTCCAAATGCTGATGGTCGCATGGCCTTCTCACTCAGCAGGACTTCAATGAGGCGCCGGAGCAAACGTTGTGCTCCCAAATTGGCACCTCTCATTGGGATGAAAGAACGAAAAACCAGAACCTTCCAAGTAAATCCAAGTAGACATATCTTTTCATCGCTCAGACTTCCTCCCTTCTCCAATATGTTCAATGAACCAGTTGGCATCATCCGAAATCTACCTCAGACTCTGATCTTTCCAAATCCACCCATCGCAGCGCACCGAGTGGAGGCCCGGCAACGAAGTGAGTCAACGATTCCTGGCGTCGAGATGCCGTGGTTGTTGAGCCCCAGGATTTGCACATGGGGTTTCTCATCCCAAGTATGGGGGTGAAGAATCTGTAGATTTGAAATCACCAAACACGTTAAACGTTTCACCACGCGACATACAAGACTTGACTGGTTCCCAGGTGTATAAGCTGCTTGCCTTTGTCACCTGGTGCCACGCAAAACGATAAACACTCGGCTATAGCGATCCTGACCCTTGGCCACTGCCAGAGCTGACAGTTTCCACAAAGGCAACCTTATGCAAGAGATGAATCCGCAGCATCCAAACGATCTGGCACCCTTTTCCAAGTCATTCCATTGAACATCAGCATGCATTGAATTTTTGGGTGTGCCCGTGCCCTCCAAATGGCCATTGTAAAGGGGACAATGATGATTAAGCAAGTGGATTGAGGGATACCCCATTTCAGACAAACTCGCGGTCATGTTCCAGTGAAGGTTTTGTTTTACATCTGAGAACTCAACAGCAGCAACAGGGTGTCACCAAGCACTTGCGGCCATTTGGGTAACTCGCCTGTCTCTCTTGCCTAGCAAGCGATTGCAAGGACTAAATGAACCAAAAAAAGAAGGGAATCAGGACAACCAATGCTGTGATCCTGAGTTTTCCATGGAGCGGGTTCAAACAGACCTGGATTACTCACAGCGATCCTCAGTTGGCCTGCAGTTCCGCTGTCGCTCTCACAGCTTGCCGAACATCCTCACCAAAAGCTGTGCACTAGCACTGATCAGCTGGAATTCCAAACACAATCTCGTGAGTCTGCTTGGATGGCTCTCAGATTGTAGGAAGATGCTATTTGCAACTGTAGCCGTTGTAGCCCATCGGTCCTCAACGAGAAGTTTCTCCTCGCCTTGTAGACTTCGGAAGTCATGCCTGGCCATGTCAAATTGGCAGCACTGAGCAAAAACATGGATGCACATGTGGGCGCACATCAGCATCCAAAGAGGTGCGCGAAGGTGCTCCTGTCACAAAACAAGCAAACTATGGTTATGATACAAATCATGATACATATTATGATGATACAAATTTTTATACTCTTGATGTATGGGATGAATGCAATCCCTAAATCCAAAACTCAAAAGCACACAGCGAAAAAACATATCTAACAATGACTTTGCAGTAGCACAAAGAGAGCGGCACACGAGAGCAAAACATAGCAGCACACGAAAGCCAAAAAATAGCGGAACACGAGACACGAAAGCAAAAAATAACAGCACACGAGAGCAAAAAATAGCAGCACACGAGAGCAAAAATGACAGTACGCGAGAGCACAAGTAGCAGTACACGAGAGCAAACACAGCAGTACACGAGCGCGAAAATCACAGTACACAGCAACAGTACACAGCCGTCTAAAGAGACCTGCCAAAAACGTATTAGAGCAACATCCTAAATTATATCTCATAAGATTAGATGAATATGTATACATGCAATGATGGCTGATTCATTGCAATTCATCTGAGGTATTGCGTCCTTGATGAGCTGGATCTGTTTCAGCACAGGCTCTTGAGAGCTCATGTAGAGCTCTAGATTGGAGCCTCAGCTACCAATATCCTACATTTCCCACCTGAGGCTTGGGCGAAAAAGGCTTCATGAAAATGGCACCCGAAAGTCAAGTGATGTAAAGAGGATTGAACAGTAACAGAAAACGCGAGGGAACTCGGCTCCTATGTGGTGACTGGGACCGTTACATCAGTCTAGTCACTGTTTGCCAACTCCCAGCCCAACCCAGTTGGGATCCCTGCACTGCGATGGAAGCTCCGAGAGTGCTTGCGTTATCGCCTGCAGGGATCACTGTTCCATGCGTGTGCCGAATGGCACACAGTGCCAGGGCAAACACAAAGCCGCCTAGCCTTCGTTTGGGCTTCAAACGCTTTCTGTTTTGACGAGTCCTTTCATGAGCACATGTCACAAGAGTTGTGTAAATGACTTCTGTGCCGTTTCCCTAAATAAGTCTCAGCATTTGTTTTGGCGTAAGGCATTGATACAATCCAATCTCGAAAGCTCCAAAGAATTCTAAACAGAAGGGACTGCAGAGCAACGATGGGTTTGGGGGTCCATGAGTTTTGGGATGCAGCATCACCGGCATCACCTACCAGTATGCGAATGCGTTCAGTGCAGACACCACTCGGGCACCACGTGTCCTCAAACTGCATATGCGTCAAGGGGTGGAAGTTTCCACAAAGAAATCTCAAATGGCTCGGCCTCGGACGCCACTGCACTAAAACTAGCCGGGGCTAGTGGCGGCTAGCGGGTCTCCTTGATGTAGATCAATAAGGATCTGTTGACAATCTGTTGATCTGATTTTCGGGTATCTGAGGGATGATTAGGGATGATGAGATATGATGAGACATGATGATGGCATTTTTTTCAGATGAAAGCCTCAGATCCCTGGGATTCTGCCGACCTTCCAAGGGTGACTGTCTGCGGCCCAGATCCTGGCACCGGTCTCTGAGCAGCTCACAACGGCTCCAGAAAGCAGTGGAAGAACTCGGAGTCAAGGCACAGAGGGAAATTTTTCAAGCACCTTAGTGACTTAGTGGTTCTCACATGTTCTCAGCTGCCATCAGAGTGGTGGAGAAGTCTCGGCTCTGAATCTGCTCTCAATGATTCTGAGAGTCTCATGGAGCGAAGAAAGTGGCCACACAAATTGGGACATGTCCTTTTTCGTGCTTGGTGAATCCCTTTGAAAAGATCTGAGAACCCCGCTCACTGATCACATGAATCATGTTGTCAATGAAAGGCTTGGCAGAGAGGGATCCATCAATGTCTGCATCTTGGGAAACCAGAAGACCCAACTCCACAGCTGCGGAGAGGATTGTCCTCAGAGTTAGAACCTCGCAACGCGCACCGTGCAGAGACTTGAAAATTGGGTCGGCCAACCAAATGACTGCATTGACTGCATCACCCTCTTAAAGATTCAAAAGAATTGTGATTCTAGTCATTCTAGTCCCTATGAACTCGTGGATACAGCATCCCCTACGAGCTAGTAAGCTGCTTGCATCGTTGACACGTTCTTCCGATGCAAATGAATGGCTTTGCCCAAAACTTTGGCTAATTATCCCTATTTAACATATGTATCTCATTGCTTGATCATCGATTTCCCATATTTTATCAGATGTTCATATCTGTTCCCCATTCAATGGGCCATACTTTGAAGTAAGCCCTGGCCCACTGGGACCCACCGTGGGTCCCCTGGGTCCCCAAAAGTCCCCTAAGGCTTCGGCAATGCTGCAGACGGCATGACGGATCTGCCGCAGCGAGCAGTTGAAGCGGGTGGCCAGGATATAGTCCAACACCCAAGGGAAATCCAGCAAGCTAACCTGCAAAGGATCACAAAACACAACATGTTTAATGACCATGCACAAACGGCAAATGGCAATAACATGTTTTGCAAAAAAATATCACAATCCATATATATATATATATGTATGTATGTATATTATGTATATATATGTATATTATGTATATATATATATGTATAATCCATATATGCCACGTGTATACATGGCTATGGGCCGTCTATGGATGAAAAGCTACTCATGGACCTCATTTTCAGTCAACCATCCATCAACCATCCAGAGGCTCCAGACCTGGACGGTCATTGCACAGCCACGCGGCCAGGGGGCTCTAGGGCTCAGCGCACCAACGGTCTGTAGCTATCGTAGCTGTTCCTTTGCCTGAGATCCTTCGTGTCGCAACAATTGGTGCGTCAAAGGACGGTGAAGTCATCTATTAAATTATTTGCCGATTCGTATGATTCGTTGAGATTCTTGCATAGGTCGCATCCTGAAAATGGAAACAACAACTGCAAGCACTTGAGTTGTTCTTTCGGGAATCCTTCTATATGCTCTTAGTAACAGAACTCGCCTTGGTCATTTCTCTGAAGCAAAGTTTCTATTGCACCAAGGCTTGAGTCCAGGCCGCAATTTGCCAAGTACAGCCCAAGCGCGAAGATGTCAAGCAAACATGCTTCGAATACAAATAGGCTGCAAATGTTGAGGTGATCTCTGCCTGTGTGTGTGTGTCCATGTGTGTGTGTATCTCCTTCTTCAGACCTGCATTTGACCCAATCGCATCACCCAATGCTATGGTGCTCAGTGAAATGCTACTCCATATCAGTACCTTCTGCTTTTGACGCGTTGACACGATGTGTTTCAGTGAGACATGCGATAAGCTTCACTTGCCTTGATGGTCGCCAAGCTCTCCCAAAGGTTTCGGGCCAATCCATTGTTTGGCACAAAAGGCGGGGTGCGATGCAGCCCTGATCTCGTGCTCGAGCTCACAAATGAATTCTCCACTTTGAGGATCTACCAACTTCAAGATGCGAAATTCCGTGTGGGAAATCGCCATGTCTTCAGTATCGTAGGTGGTGTTGGGAAAGCGTGGGTTGTTCCACACCAATTGTCGCTCCTTTGCCCGTCCTTAGTTCAGACTCAAAACAATAGAGCCACATCTACAGCGAGAAACGCAAAATATTTGTGTGGAACCAATGATGCGAATGTACCTTTAAAGAGACACTCTGTTAAGCCAAGCTTCTGTAGGTATCCACAAAATTGTTGATGTAGATGGCAATGTGATAGCCATCGTAAGGAATGTGGTCTCCGGCTTGGGCTTCCCGATAGATGATCCATTGGGAAGCACCAACTGGTACCCAACATTCCTCTGCATTGGCGGCTTTTCGGACTTCCGCCTTGGTGCAAAAGATGCAATCGTAGAACCTTGCGACAGCGGCAGCTTTGCCATGTGGGCATAGAAAACGCATGTAGGGAATGCCCAGGCAAACGGATGGCACCTGACTAGGAAGAGAAACTTGTTGCTCCTCCAAGTCCTTGGTGTTCATCCAACCACTGGGAGTGACCCAGCTTGATGTGCGAATGCCATGAATGATGAAGTTCACGCCAGTTGGACTCTTGACTTTCATAGCTGGTGGTCCAAGGTCCTTCATGGCTACCGTCTCTTGGCTTGAAACCAAAGAGAAATCGATGGACAAAGCTTTCAGATTGCTTCTCAAGCCTACAATGTCCGAGTATGCCAAGCCCACAAAGCCTGGAATGGTCTGCGATTCCATGGGTGGTGGCTCGCCAATGGGCATATGCACCTGCTGCAATCCTGCATTGGCCCAAACCAGTCCCTGCAAGGAACCGCCTTTGGCCCGCACTTTGCTGCACACATCATCGGCACGTGTGTCTTTTGCAAAGCCCAGGCCCTTCATCCAAAAGATTTCAAGCTCACTGTTCCAGGCCGGTACATTCACATTCAAATGTTCCAGCGAAAGCAAGGAGGTCACCCTTTCAGGAGGTAAGGTCAATTTGAGGTCATGCAAAATCTTCTTGTCCCGGCCCATGCACGCATTGGGAAGCAGTGACACGACGCCGCCCATGGCTCTTTGGCAGGCGAAACGTCCGAACTACTGGGACAACTACTCAGCACCAAAAAAAAACGGCGGCACCACGGACACACCTTGGTAAATTGTGGCACCAACTTAGCTTTTGCTTCTCCTGCACCATGGTCCTCACTTGCTGCATCTCCTGTCTTTGTAACCTCTGCCTCTGAGCTCTGTCTAGTCTCACTGGAATCGCTAATATGTACAACCCAGGGTATGGTGCTTGGCACAGAATTCAAATCTATCAAGTCTGAGAAATTGCTACACTACCAAAACATACCGAAACTATCCATGAAGGTCAGAACCAGAGGCCAAGCACGTCAAAAATGCGGTTGGCAAGCCCTTCCTGGCAAGTTGCGAGATTTCAATGTCATCTTGACTTACACAACAAGTGAAGGGACATGCACAAAATTCCTAGATGCATCTACGACCACATTGCCGCTTGTTTGTAAACGCACAAACCAAGGAACGAATATCTGCCGTGCACCGTGCAGGACTGAATAGAGTAGGAACACACATAGAGATACACTTAGAAACAAACGGCAAATCAAGTCGATTGCGAGCCGCTTCTGCCACACCCTGCGAGACTAACATCTGTGCCCGTGCCAAGCAGGCATAGTATCATCAGAAAAAAATGCAAACACACGCCAGAGCTTTAAGGACGCCATCTGTCTCAGAATGTATCTTCGGATCTTGTCTCATTCCATTCCTTCCATTCCCATGTTTCAAATCTGGAATCGGAGAATTGTGGGAATCGCTTTTCAGCCATTGGCCGGACACGGTGCTAGCAGAGTGGCAACGGCAAATTCCGTTTGGAGTTTCAAAGGCTCGACGTCGTTGGGCTGGGCGGCCGCAGACGCAGGTCGTGGCCGCTCCAGCAAAATGTCTGTGCTCCATGTCACTCCAAGGGTATGGGACAAACATGCCTTCAAGAAAACAGCAGCTGATAGCTATTTTAGTAGTTCTTTCATCAATCTAGCAGTTATTTTAGTGGTTATTTTAGTAGCTTTATGATGCTTTATGATTTTTTCATGTGATTTTTTTTCAGTGGTTCACGAGCGATTCAACAAAGTCCGCGCAAAACCGGTGGCCTTTGCGGACAGACATGTCTGCCACCGGAAAATGCTCCAGCTTTTGCCCGACGCTGTGTCTTTGACGCGATTCATGGCAAAGGGAAGTGGCAAATTGTCCGAAACATTCCGAAACATCGATCTGAGGGTGTCGAAACCTGGACAACGTACCAAGTTGGAAACAGAGATTGAAAAGGACTTTCCTCAACAGGCATTCCAGACGCCTGGCTACAACATCAGGTGACAAACAAATCCGGGACTGGCAGTACCTCATCAATCATGAATTATATCAAATACATCAAAATAAATAGGTGGGACAATTTCAGGAATCAAACGTGCCAGTGAAATGCTGGTAGAGCTTTCAAAGTTCCGGGTTGATCAGTCCGCGTTCAAAACGGCTGTCACTCGAGATGAGTTAATGGGAGTCGATACTGCACAAGCGAACCCATTGCCGGCTTCAGCATCTGGAGTCTCCTGCCGATGCGAGGCTCAAGGCAATTCGGAATTGGGGTAGACATAGAAAGTCATAGAAAGTCATAGAGCTGATTTCAACATACTATAAACCATCTATCAACTGGTGCAGGATTTCTTCCATCCACAGTATGTCAACATATTTCAACCCAAGTTTTTCAGACCATTGCCTCGTCTGATGGTTCCGCATCGATGGAAGAGAGTTCGCCAGCATCAGGCACCACAGTCTCCTGATCCAATTCCCCATGGCCCCACCATGGCCATGGCCCACCATGGCCCCACCTTCCTCACTGATTTTGGCGAAGAAAAAGCTGGGGAACTGGCTAATGATGCTGTTGGTAAAGCAGTAAAGCAATCATAAACCACCAGAATTACCTCCTTCAAAAGTTGATGGTTTGCGCCATCCATGGTGAAATGGGGGCTGGTTTACTATTGCTTTACTAAAGTTCTTGAAATGTATTGAAATTCCATATCAATAATTTCATGTCAACCCCACAATCGCCTCGTTGTCCAATTTCTCGTCTGCCTCATCTCCAATCTGTTCCAAGGTGTTGATCGCTGCGGCAACAGCAGGGCCATTTTCGAAGGAGACAAAGACAAGAGTTGGGTCAACTCCACCAAGAATGGTGCCCTTGGTACCTGCGTGAACAATGATGGTGCAAGGACTCATCAAGTGTTGGGCTGCCTTCACGAAAGTTCCAGCCGGTAGGTGGGGTGGCAACTCGCACCAGGGTAGGATCTCCAACCTTGGCGGTCGATGTTCTCAATTTGAAACATCCGTATGATCTAGAATCTAGATATTCAACATCATATTCCGACTACAAACCCTGCTGTATTTTCAAGCAACGGGAGGACGTTGAAACAGCTGGGGGTGCCAGTCTCAGATGTCTCAAAGACCACTGTGAGGCGCGTATCGCTGAACTCGGCCAAGACAGTTCCTCGGCATCCTGCTTGCACCACCACCTGCCACAGCGGAAACTCGGAAAATGGCGCATCGCTGTTGATTATCCCCAAGTCATCTTCTTGCTAAATATCTCCAGGAATGTTTCCCCAGGAATTGTTTCCTTGGGGTCTTTTTGTGAATGTGGTGCGATGTGGTAAACCCAAGAGTAAACCACCAATTTGGGAATATTTTATACCACCTATTCTTGTAGAATTGTGAATTGGGTTTACCAAATTGCTCTATCATTTCTGCATGAATCATATTGCAGCTCAGCCTTGCTACCCACCACCAGTGACATTGATGCTTGCACTCGCTGAGCAATGCTGAAACCACCCACCAAGGGTCTTTGAGCTGCAACTTCTCGAATGTTCACACTCACCTGAGTCACTTGAAGGAGAGAAATCCAGCTTGGAGATTCGACAACATGATTATTGGATGCGATCGGAAAATGTGGAATTCGGATTGTGCATTGCCAAACAATTCTGTTATCGTTGTTTTAGTGTCCAGTCTCCAGGGGACACGAAAAACCAGCGTTGAAAAAGTTTCAGCCCAAAAGTACCAAACAGCTGGCCGGATATTCTGGAATGTTTCGCGGTTCATCAGCGGCTTGCTTCGCCGGCTCAAAGAGGACGGTAACTCTGTCTCCCCCGAGGCTTCCAATGATGTGACCAACTGAGCCTTGGAAACTGCTCCGTAGGGGCTGAAAATTTCCAAAAGGAAGGCAGGAAGGCACAGAAAAACAAAAACATGGGAGAAAAACCAGACATGAGAGACATGGTCCAAGTTTTGAGCAAGGAACCCAATGGGACTTTCATATCTGAATTGAGGAGAAGCTCATAGAGCGCGACAACTTTCTGATGCAATCGGAAGCCACCAGGCAAAGGCAGCATCAGGGCCTCCGGAACAACCTAGGTGCTTTTCAGACTGTTTCTGCCCCAGAGAAGGGGTAGTTGCCCCAGACTGGGGTAAGCTTGGCTCATTCTTCCCATTCATAGAACTGCCAAGGAACATTAACACAAAGCTCTGATCCATCCTCTCGTTCGTCGAACTTCACGGTCAAATGACATCCATCCTCGCAGTTTCCAACGATGATCCCTGGAGAACCCTGACGCACGATGATGTTGCTGCCATACCTCGTTGCATCGGGTGAGCTGCTCAAAAAAGGCACAACATGCAGCACGAACAGCACCAATTGCAGCTAAGGAGCAAGATGTCACGGCTTGCGGCGATGTCTCCCCAGGCCTCATGGGTGAATTTGCCAAAGCCCGGCTTCCGAACGCGTCAACAGTGCAAGACAAGTATCTCCCCAAAGACGGGCCCGTGCTTGACAAGTATCTCCCCAACCCGCCATTATGCATAAATAAATTTCAATCAATACATATTCGAATATGTGGCAATTCCAGGATATTCCGAGCCCATCATGGAGATGAATTCATATCTTTCACACGCAAGAATTCCGGACCTTAAAGCCACCAAGGCATTCGGAAGCCTCTTCTTCTGCCTCCTACAGATTGGCAAGGATTTTGATGGCAGTGGACTCAGACCCCTGAAAAAATGCTGCTCCCATTGAGTTCATCATCCCTTTGGAATGGAAAAGTGAAGAAATACTTCAAGCCCCACGGATGTTGACTTATTAAGTTGGGCATACCATCCGAGTGCAAGGGAGAACGGGTTACCATTGGTTAGGCTAGTAGGCTTCGCAGGAAAATCCAATATGACCGAACGAATACGACAAAAAGTGAGACAGAGAAGTGCTTGAAATCGCAGAACTCTGGTAGCAGGCCTTCACTCGAACAGCCAACCTCTCTGGTACCAGCTGTTCCATGGCTTTTCGAAGCGCTATTGAATGTTGTGGTAGGCGGAAAGGGACCTTAGAACCAGAGCAGCTGACAGTCTCTGACATTCCTTAGATCAATGGATTTCAGTGGAATTCTACTAGGGAACCCTGCCTTTATACCCTTAAATGTGTTGTGAAATGTCGTGAAACTGAAGAAAAATTATTTGCTTCACACCAGGTCGTTTATCTATCAGCTTCTTTACCCTGGGCTCAACACTTTTTGCGTGCAGCCCCCAGGACAGCGGGGGATGCCCCCTTGTTGTGCGTTGGTTTTGATCCACAGCCGCAAGCACTCCTGCCACGGTCAAATTCTGGTTGGATTGGCACCTCAATGTTGGCCATTGTTGACCCAGCCTTGCAAAAGGAACGGCCGCAACATACCAACCTCGGAACGGAGTGTGAGCTACATTGATTCCAGGAAAGAATGGGCCAGGCTATTCACATGTTGGACCACCATCACTGTCCAACAGCATCACTGTCCACTCATTATGCAAACTATTTGTGTACGCTGATGGACACAGTACGTCCTTGCAATGGATACCGTATACCATCATAATTCCTACTAACCAATGGATGTCGATTCCCACATGATGGGGAACTATATGAGATCAGTTGCTCATTGTGTTAAGGATGAATCAAGATATGTGAGGCCTGACCACTGGGTTTCTGACGTGATGGGGGCTAGCATGAGATCTTCGCAAATGCCGCAGCAAAACAGTTCCGCCACTTCTTCCGCTTCAGCCATGTGTGCTGTCCTGAAGCTTAGGGACGATTTGTTGGCAACTGAAGATCAAAGAATAATCAAATTTCACCATCAAAAATTGGGATTAAGTCAGCAAAACTTTGAATTCACCGTAGCCAAGAAATATAGCAAATGAAGGGATAGAAGCTACAAGTTAGAAGCAATTTGTCAGTGGGAAATTGATGGATCGAAATGTGGCGAAGTCAAAGGAGGCACTGGATCCAGAGAGACAGCTGATCATTCTTAGTACTCAACAAAAACACTGATACTAAGACACAATTCTGATAGTAAGTCCATTGTTGTTAATGTTACTAAGCAAATGTCAGTTACGAATAAATGTACTGATAATGATGAAAAGATAATGGCCAGCAGCAACTCTGAAGTACAGCCAGGGCATGCAAGGACTTACTTCGGATCTGGGAAACTGACCAGTTTCGTGTTGGCGTGGCTGAGCTGCTCTCAGCTTGCTCAAAGTCTTGAGCCAAAAACGCTACCGCGCTTTCCGCCAGTCACTACATTGAAACAAAAAATGCTGGAAGTGAGACTTCACTTGGTTGATAGGGATTCCTCTAATGGATTGTGATATTCCCCATGATATTGGTCAATGAAATTCCTATAATCATCAACCAACCGGGGTTTTGAACACTGCTCACTTGGCACATGCAAATTCACAGCTGCGTCTTTCCGGCCAGCGTGCCTGTTCATGTTTGTCGACTGAAGTCGACAAAGTTAAAAGTTGATCTACACATGCGCTGAACGCCAGCGGAAAATTAAACATTGGGAAAAGCATTCTCCGAAATCTCTTGCCAGGACTAAAGCACTCCATTCTTTACTAAATCAATTGTGCAAATCAGAATCATCAGTAAAAAATCGAAAAACGAATACAAAACAAATGCAAACAATGTCCAGCTTCCAAGAGAATCCGTACAGCTCTCAGCTTCCGTGGTCCGGACCGCTGTCGAGACTCTGAAAGGAAGGCATGCGAACCTCACCTGTCGATCCGACCAAGCACCTCGCGCTATGGCTGTTAATCATCATTGTTCCATATTGTTCCTATGAAAATATATATTAAAGTGAACATGCATGTTCACCCTGGCAAATACTCATGAAATCAGGCTTTGACTGGCTAAATCGACAGTTCTAAGCGCATTCCATGATGCCTGCAGTTGAGGTGTCTCCCTCTCCAAAGAACCCCCTTGGCTTCTGCTTGTGTCACACTGATCCCAGCCTGAGTCCTTGATCAAAATCCAGGTTCACTGAGCATACACCTTCCAAAATCTCCTGGGTCGAGCACTCCCAGGTCCCAGGATCTCACCAAAACGTTTTAAGTCGGTCAGTGTGCGGGTTTATATCATGTATGGAGTCTGCTCCAGACAAGGCACTTTGCGAATGGGCCAGCGAAAGCAGCAAGCTGTTCGAAAGTGCGACAACCTGCTCTTGCGGTTCGCAGAGGAGAGCTATGGCAACAATGACAGCATGAAAATGCAGGATATGATTAGTGTGTGCAAAGTGCGAGAAGGAAAGGGAAGCCATAAGCCCTCCTTATGTTTTCCACTCCAATATGTAGGTCTGGTGTCTCTTCCGATGATAGGATTTTTTTCACTAGATTACCCGCACAAATTCCCGCATCTTCTCCCTCCCGCTGTCAAGATGAAACCTCTCGTCTCAAAGAGGTCAGTGCCAGTGTTCAATTTCTGCTTCTGGTTGGAATGTCCATGGAAGTTCCCATCCCTGGCCTTACATCATGCTGCAGCTGCCTCCTGCACCCTTCTGGGCCCCAGGCTTCTGCAAGTCAACCTCTTTCGCTGCCATCAGCTCTCCGAATAGGATACCCGGGCTACAGGGACAGTTTGGGAGTCTAGGAGCACATCTAGGATATTCCAAGCGCCTGCTTGGATTGTACACGCATTTCTACAAGGACTATCTCCAATTTTGGGTGATATTAGATTACATCTGTACTACGTTATTTCATGTCATGTAGGTATGTGTGTGATTGTGTGTGTATGTATATATATATATGTATATATGCAGTATATACATCTCAGTTATATGATGTAGATGTATCAACATGATAGTCTGCATATTGGCCCTTTCTTGTGGTAGCATTGCAGTCCCCGACCCAGCTCTACCTTGTCCTCGGTCAGCTCCATGTCAGGCTCTCCCTGGGATACCCCAAGTCTATCAGTCAGGCCACGGGGAATGGTGGATTTTGGATACTATAATGTCACAACATTTCTATTTAACATATTCAATTGCCTTCGTCAAGCCCGCCGGCCATAGAGAGGTGGCCCCAAGGGAGTTTGATGTGCACTCTAGGTGGAAGCCCGCGAGAGAAGCAGAAGAGAAAAAAAGGAGAAGAAGTAGAAGAAAGGAAGACGAAGACAAAGCCGTAAAATAGAAGTGTAGCAAGTGCTGGCTGTAACTTAACAACCCATTGACCGTATACCAAATTAGTACCGCCCCCAGCAAAGTAGCGCCAGGTACTATTTATGAGCCTCTGGCTTGGCAGCAGACCGCTGCATGGAAGCAGACAGGGTGGAAGTGGAGAGAGATTGTCCCAAGGGACTTTGATGCGCACGCTAGGTGGAAGCCTGAAAGAAAAGCAGAAGAGAAGAGAACAAGAAGAAGAGGAAGAGGAAGAAGAGGAAGAAGAAGAGACGAAGACAGAGCCGTAGATCAGAAGCAGCTTGAGTAGCAAGTGCTTGAACAACCTATGGACAGCATACCAAATGAGTACTGGCTGATCAGTTTAGTACCGCGTGCGTCCTGTGACGAGTACCTGTAGACGACTGTAATGCTGTAGGCAGTATCATTAGCTACCGGCACTACCAGCTTAGTACTTGAGGGAGAAGGGAGGAAGGAGTAGAGGAGTAGGCGTAGGCGTAGGCGTAGGCATAGTAGTAGCAGCAGCAGCAGTAGCAGTAGCAGCAGCAGCAGCAGCAGTAGTAGGAGTAGCAGTAGAAGTAGAAGTAATAGTAGGAGTAGGAGTAGGAATAGGAGTAGGGGTAGGGGTAGGGGTAGGAGTAGGAGTAGGAGTAGTAGGAGTAGGAGTAGGAGTAGGAGTAGGGGGGGAGGGGGGGGGACTTGATTCAGACGAAGCAAAAACGTGCAGCAAGAGGGCAAAGGAACAAGTACAAGCCAAGAACAGAAACAAGCACAACACCTTCCAATCAGACGCCGGCAGGCCGGCGGATTTATAGATATACTACAATGCTTGGACACAAAATAAAATATCTTAAAACATCTATTGGGTTTATGTTGATCTCTTCATCTGTTTAGGTTACAATACAAAACAATACAACCAACTTCAACAGACATACGTAGACATGCAAGACTTGGCCCGGAAGGCACACTCAGTCAGTCACGCCTTGCCTCGACGTATGTCAGGGAGAGCCCGTTGGCTCAGTGTCGCTCACCATTGGGGTTGTCTGGCTTAAATGAGTCAAAGAAGACATGGCCTCAGCTGAAGCAAGCGAAGCAAGCCATGCTGCTGCACGCATCGCTTGGTGCTTTCAGAGGCCTGTGCCAAGATGGGAAGCACATCGGTTGCAAACGATCTCCAGCCCGCCAAACTCTGAGACAGTACCCACATGGCAGCCACCTGCGTCCTTGGCGATCCACCAATGCGACAAGAACGAATGCATATTACTAGGCTGGAAGAGAAGTCGCAGCGGGTACTGCTATTGATCCTTTATAGCCTACTTGGGAGTCAATTCCTGTCAAATCGAATTCAGTGATGGGAGTAGATCCCGGTTACCATCTCTTTGCAGCAAATTTAACAACTTCTGGGGATCTGACCCCTCAAAGGCCCCTCAAAACCAATCTCTGCAGAATTCCGCAACAGAATTTCACTAGCAACAAAACATTCGATCTCTAACGTTTGCCAGAAAAGATTGCAGAGATGGATCTCCCTGATGATCAACAAATAATATCATAGATATGGATGTGTCCAAGAAGTGCGGTATACCCAGTATACCCCCTTAAATGCTCATTTAAACCATGAAAAAGTTGTTGTTTTCCCATGGTTTTCCGCATGATTTTCTGGACCCCACCTTCGAGTAGTAGCAGGTCTTGAAGACCGGCCAGCCACAGCTGCTGCGGAACTTGGAGCTGGCAGAGTAGAGCCTGGGCCGCGGCTGGGCCCCTGGGGCTGTTCCAAGCCCGGCCTAGTGAGATTCATAGAGAATCATAGAGATTCATGTTGCAGATTCAATATATATATGTCACGAAGTTGTCATCATATTTCATAATATTTCATATTCTATTAGAAAAAATCATGGGACTTGTTGAAGAGGATCGTACTCCAGAACATGGAAAGTCATGGAAAGAACAGCCAAGATGAATTCTTCCCCATCGAACCCAACCCGAAAAAAATCAAACGCCAAGGGGCGGTAATCCGCAGGCCCCACAGGCAAAGTATCCCTGGCAGGGGTGCTGAAACACCAGACATTTGGCGAGTTTCAGGGCCCATTCTTTCACTTTTGGCGCCAATGGGATGTATGATGAAACTATAAACTAAGCTGAACAATGCCACAAACTCAAACTCCATCTGGTTGGTGGCTTCATCCCCACAATATTAACATTGGAGATCACAATCCTAAATTCAATCCAAAACAAAATGCGCTTGATACCACCAACCAGCCACTGTCATTCAGCAACGCTTGCCTTCGCGGGCATGAAGCGGTCATAGGCATGCGAGCCCGGAGGTTCCGTCCCTTGCTGACGAAGGATCTTAGTGGAGCAGGTCCCTGCTAAGCCTGCTATGCATCAACCCCCAAAAGATGCCAGAAAGTTGGAAACCTGGAGAATATCTGGAAAACACCATCGGACCATCAAACTACCATTCTCGAAAACCCTGTTCGGCATCTTTTCGGAGGCAAAGATGTAGGTTGCAAACCCTACACAAATGAAGCATGAAATGGCAATTTACAGCATTGTACCGCTGTTTCTTTTGCTGTCCAAAATTAAACCCCTGAACTCCCAGCAGCCCCTTAAAGGACCCATGGCGCCTGAAAACAACACACGCGGCACTCAGTCCAACACGCGATACTGGCGGGGATCTAACTTATTGCGCCACTCTTCCTGGAAACCGTCTCCAACGAACAGGAAGAGAGCAATGCCAAAAGACCTTCTGTTCCAGGGTGGGATTCCCAGTGCATGGATCATAATCATATATCCCCATTGTCCCCATTATCCCCAGTAAACCACTTAGTCTAAACCACTACAGGTCATATATAGAGTAGATGTTTACAGATACAATATAGTAACAATATTCAACAGTGGACTTCTGCAGTGCTGTGCAGCACATTCAGGCCTCAGAGACCTTGATCTGAAAAGACTTCGATTGAAGGGCCTCAAGGCCAGCTGCTCATTGCAATGGATACAATTCAGCCGTCCTTACCCATGGATGTTCAGTGTCTGGCGATAATTTCATCCCCATCCCCGAATCAAACTACCCCCCAAACCAAACACTCTGGCTCAGTATTGGATCTGTTCATTTTGGGGCATGGATGGTGTTTTAATGGTGTTTATATTCATTTATTTATTTATTTATTTATATTTATTTATTTATTTATATTTATTTATTTATTTACTAATTTATATTTATTTATTTATTGATTTATTTATTTATTTATATTTATTGATTTATTGATTTATTTATTTACATTTATTTACATTTATTTATTTATTTATTTATATTTATTGATTTATATTTATATCTATTTATTTATTTATTGATTTAGTGATTTATTTATTTATTTATATTTATTTATTTATTTATTGATTTATTGTTTTATTTATATTTATATCTATTTATTTATTTATTGATTTAGTGATTTATTTATTTATTTATTTATATTTCTTTATTGATTTATTTATTTATTTATTTATATTTATATTTATTTATATTTATTTATATTTATTTATTTATTGATATATTTATTTATTGATATATTTATTTATTTATTTATATTTATTTATTGATGTATTGATTTATTGATTTATTGATTTATTTATATAATATCATATGGGGGGTCCATAAATGGTGGTACCCCAAAATTTCTGGCTTATAGAAAATCCATGAAAATCTCACTAAAATTGATGATTTGGGGGACCCCTATTTTAGGAAAGCGGCTTTCTGCAGAGTCCCATCTTGTTGGAGGGCAAGGAGGTCGTCGCAACCACCGACACATTGTCCACGCACAAAGATCTGAAGCGCAACTGATGCATTGCCAATTGACTGCCAAGATATGCCGAGTACAACCAAAAAGAAGGCGTTTTGCACCCATCCAATATGACGGTTTCGTAAATTTGATACCAACTAATCCAACTATCCCAGTATATTTACTTTGACGGTGGGACCTTCGAAAAAGAATGCCTGTTTCAACCCAAGTCCAATCGAGTGCATAGAAGGCGCTCTGGGCACAGTGCGAGCACCCGTCATCTCGGCAAAGAGATCCTGGATCAAAATGAAAAAATGAGAAATGAAAGCACCTAAAAGGCCTAAAAGGCCTAGAAGGCATAAAAGCGTATGGAACAAAACCAAGCCATGGCATCTTGACACCGCTTTGATCATCTCCATCACCATTTCTTCCGTAGGACAAAGCTACAAAGCGACCATTGCAACGCTCCTGCATGGCAGCACCCTCCTGGCATGTCACCCACCCATGACAACAGGGTCCAAACATGCAAAGTCACAATTCAACCTTCGAAGCCAAACGCCTCGCATGGGTCCACTGGATAAAAACCTTGCCTGCTCAGGAAGTTCGTCAAGCTCCACCACCACAAATTTGCTCCCTGTGGACTGCAACACCTCCTTGGCCTGGCGTGTGCTGTGTGCACGGCAGATCCAAGATTCCAAAGCCATCAAAGCCCGTAGCCCGTAGCCCGGTATCCCTCCTGCCTTGCTACAGAAAGGGCACGTGGTCTTCGAGAACATGATCACTTCGTTTTCCTGCATAGAGGAGCAACATCTATAGGACTAGGCACAAAAAAACACAGTACCCTACGACTTCATACAGTACTACATACAAATCCATACAACTAATTACATAGTCCACGATTGTTAGAAGGCCATGTATATTCTGGTGTGTGGGATATTTCTATCGAGTCTTTAAAATCTTTAAAGAATAAAGCCCCAACTGCCGCAGCGTCGCAACTTGCGTTCTTGATGGGGATTTGCATGTTCTGCTTGGGTTGCCGAATATTTGCATTGAACGGTTTCAAGATGTTTAAGCATGGCAACATTGCCATCAAATTTGGGAAAACATCTTGGCTTCTAAGGTTTGTCGTGTGGCCTGGAGGCCCCCATGCCTACGAATCTTGAAGCATAGCATCACATCTCTAAGCAAGTTGTAATGAACGTTCACAGACTCGACCCGACCCACCTCACCCAAACCCCCACCCCATAATGAACGTAGCAGGCGGAAGTAGAAGCGCAGCATAGCGTAGCGGCGTAGCTCTTAAGTGAGGTCAAAGCAGCGGTTCGGGCACCCAGCACCCAAAAACACTTGGGGTCCAACTCATACAACTACAACAACGTTTTGCAACTTTTTAGAAGCCTCATTGCTCAATGTCATCTCTTTGACTAAGTCATGGACAGAGTTTTCAACAGTTTGAAGTTCCCCATGGTTTTCCTCGGTTTTTCCTAGGTTTTTCCAGGTGTGTTTCCGATGTTTGCAGCCCACCTGAATCAGATTCTGGACCTTCTCTGCCGGCAGCGTTGAGGTCGCAGGCGCTGCCCTCCGGGTCGTGGCGGCTACGGCACCTGACATTTTGAGGATCGCAGGCAAGCTGTATCTCCAAATGGTGAATGAACAAGTGGTGTGATTTGATGAAAGCTTTGCATATGATAAAACATATAGCAACGATAAAATGATCATGACGAATAAGAATAATAAAACAATAACAATGATAGTCATAGTAGTACAGTAATACATTATGACATATGGTAATAGTAAGAGTGAAGATAACAATGATGAAATTTAGTGAGGCGGCGTATCATGATATTGATCACACATACATATAATAATAGTGATACAGAGTGTCATAATCATATTAATCATGCAATTCATAGTAGGAACACTAAGACTACATACATATCAACTTGATAGCCGAATAACGTTAAGAATAGTGAGACTACATGTTATAACAATCGACATACTACTAATGATAGTATTATATATATACATACATATAATTACATATATACATGTAGACTATATATATATGTATACCTAACTTCTATTATGTAACATACAATATACATAATGCATACTATATGAAGAGATCTGAGGTACCCCACCAGCAGCAAAGCCCAACAAAGGTGCTAGCCTTCGACTTCCGCCCTGCGGCAATCAATGGAGAATGACCCTCCAGTAATTTAATCTGACCATGGATACTTACCCATTTATGGATGATTGGGAGCTTCCATTGTCATGTGAATTGTCAGTGGGACTTTAGAAAATATCAGAAAAACAACGGGGGTCCGAGCCTGGCTGTTTGAAGCTGGCCGCTGCAGAGGGACAGAAATCCCATGGCTTACCTGTGATTCAGCAATGTGGGCACATCATGTTTGGCGTTTCTCCGAAAAGATAGCGGCAGTTGTCATGTCTCTTCTTGCGTCCAAATTCAAATTGAAGAGTTTTTACGAAGAGGGAAGCTCTGGCAACACGAAGCAAATCAAGTTTAAGAAAAAGGAGTTAGCTTCAGCACACAGACTGATCCCTCTGGAAATGCCTGCTGCACAGGTCTGGCTTTCAAGGCAGTTCCCTGCCCGGGAATCATGGCCTACGGCGATCAACTGGAGATGCAAAGCCTCCATTAATGTACCATTTGATTCCTGATGTCGTCCTGAAAACAACAATCTTTGTTGTGCCACGGTCATGGATTCCTAATAACTGACAATGGGAATATAAATAAATCCCTGTTCATGGATTGATGACCATCCCCCAATACTCGACAAACAGGCTGCCTCTCCACCCACTTTTCCAGTGGTTGAAGCAAACGCCAATCGCTGCGCGCCCCAGCCACTTCGTGGGGGCATACGCTGCCACCACGTCTAAGACGCTGTTTGAAGTTGAAGTGTTCACACCGCACAAGGCACACATTCCAGCCATGAATTGGGAGCATGTTGCCAAATGTTGCCAACTGTTGCCAACATTGTGGGTATGGGTTAAAACTGGGACATCCAGAAATCCCCGCTATTTTGGGGGGTTCACCATGGTACCCGGGTTATGACCCAGTACAAAACCCAGAACCGACCCAAGAGATCCACGCTGCGGATGCGAAGCCCAACCTTTTGCGCTAAATGGCTGAATAAGAAGCACCTCTTCAATCTCTAAGCGATGAAACGGGATGCACAGCCAAGTGAAACGGCACATTTGGATCTTAAAGGGGTATGGGTCCAAACTGGGCACCGGACAAAAGAGTGCAAATGCCAAATTTGATGGAAATATGTGGATTTGATGGCGAGAGTCTGACCCATACCCAAGCATGGAGTGTGCTTTCAGAATGTCTCCACCCAGTGACAAAATTTCAACAACACCCACTTCAAGCTTCAAACAGCTGAGCCTAATCAGTCTCCATTCAGACAGAGTAATCATTGCTAACATGTGTTGCCAACATCCTTTCCATAACCTGTTCAACTCTGGCTCAGCTCAATCTGAAAGTCGTCCATCATTATCATTCTTTGGGGCCAGGTTTGAATCTTGAGACACAATGCAACCTGATTTCACCTGTTTTCCCTTGATGTTTCCCTGTTTTGGGGGTCTCAAGATGTTGCGCAAATAGCCCCCATGGATTTCCGCCGCACAAACAGCACGGCTGTTTGTGGGCAGTGACTCCAGCGACTGGAACATCTAAGGGATGTTTGAAATCGAGTAAAGTTTGGAAAAAGGAGCACTGCTTGACTGGTTAGGCAACGGTTTCAGTAAAAACACGCTTCAAACCTAAGTATCTGCAGAGATATGTTCCTGCTCAGAACATGATTCTCTGGGCTTCTATAGATCACTAATTCGTTTGGAACCATGGAAACGCCAAACAAACAAAAGCTTACATTTGCGGAAATGCGTGCAACTCAAAATTGCTGCCCACTCAAGCAATGCAGCGGCTGCTACCTCCAGTAGAGCAAGTAGCCAGCAACCCTGCCTGTTTTTGCCACAGCCTTGGATGCAAAGCTTTGCAAAAACCACCTGGGTACCGGCTGTGTGATCTGTGACTGAGCTCCTGGCCGAGGCCGGGGTATGAGCGAGTTCCAATAAGCCTGGGACAAGAAGCATCACCAAAAGATTCTGTGCCATAAGGCCAGAAGTCTTTTTCTGAGGCCGATTTTGAGGCTCCAGACAAGGCACACGGCACTGGCCAAAACGAGTAGTGAGTGTGCCATCCAAACTGCCTGCAAAGTTGCGAACTGCCACAGCCATCACCTGAAGAATGCCAACTTCCCCAGTGGTGTCATTCTGTGGATCCAGGCATCAATGGATTGGTTTAAGGGCAAATCTAGAGGACACCACCCATTCTACCCCTACATATAGGGAGTTCCTGGAAATTTTCCCATCCAATGCTGGAGGCACCTTCTGCCGTATTTCCTCCTCCGAAAGGGGCAGACTTTGCAGAAGCTCCGTCGATTGAAAGATGGCCTGGCACAGGCAAAAAGTTACGCGTTCCTGGCGTTACTTGGGCTACATACAGACATCAAATGATGCGATCTTGAGATAATTTCTACTAGTACTCGGTGTAACGCTGCTCTCAAGTCACTATCGCTGGATCATCTAAAATGAATGACATTTATATATATATATATATAGTGATATTTAGTGAGGTTCAACATCCTTTCCAACGTGGCCTGCAGGCACAGAGATGACAAGGCAAACCTCCGATCACACCTGGACACAGGTCACACCAGGCACTCGGCCATTCGCCCTGGGCACTGGGATCTCCTGCCTCAATCTGCTTGCAGCCTGGCTGCAGCGACGGTGCAACGTCTTGCAATCACAATATGATTTTCATCATAGCAGTGTGTGCATCAGATCAATGCGTGGCTGTGTGTGTGTGTCTGTAGATATCATATGTGTATATATATATATATTATCTATAAATATCTATAATACATTTGATTATATTATATCTGTATAGCAGTGGAATAGATCAGTCGGAATGAACATCGAAGCTGGCACAGACCCAGATCCCGGAGCTCCGTGGGAATGGCACCTTGATCCCCTCCTTCGTGCACGCGGCATGGCACTCGTCACTCTCTTGTGGCTTCCTGGCAAAAAGAAGCAGGAAAAGGGACAGCGCTACAGAGTTTGACCCCTGCCAACCATCCACATGCCATCCACATGCCATCTATCCGAATGATCCAAATGTCCAGCTCAAGACTACTGCTCCATCATCTTGATGACACAAACTATCGCCAAAGAGAAGCGAATACGCCAGCTGCACCCTGCAGCTTCAGACCCTGACGGGGGGGCCGGATTCGGCCTCAGAAATTGGTGATCATCATCCCAAAGATGCTTGAAAATGAAAAATGGTTGAAACATGTTGAAACCACTAACCATCCTGGCATTGCTATGCATTGCTCAGATGACTTAACTGTTTCATGATCAGTTGGATGACAGGAGCACCGATCTCATCCGCCAGTTTTTCTCATCAATCCATGCAGCTTTGAAGGGCCAGCAGGCAGCAGGGGTGATTTTAAAGTATCACCGAAGGAGTGCCGGAAGGAAAGCCATGGTGTACTTGGTTGGATTGAACTCTTGAATGGAAAGGCTTCCCTTCCAACAAATTGTTCCATTCATCCAGAATAGAAGACAGAAAAACTAGCAGGCATACAAATGCTTTGCTATCAGAGAATCTCACGAAAGAACCAAAAATGTTCAGAACTTTGTCTTCCACAAATATATTGTCACAGCCTGCCATGAAATATATATAGCAAGACAACTCGTCGCAAAGAGTGTCTAGCTGCACCCAAGGTGATGCCGAGCGATTCCCCTGGACGCATATCGACCCGTTTTTCATGTCGGACTCTCATGATCCTCTGAAATCACTGAAATCAGTCTATAGCTTTCAGAGATGTTCAAAGCAAAAATGCAACAAATGCTTTACGCTCGACATTAATCAATATTAATCATGTCGAAGATCTCACTCCTCAATATCAGGAAATGTCTAGATGCATTCTACAGATATTCCTCGCTGAACGAAAGCTTCCTGCACTCGACAAGCGTCCATGGGTATCCATCGCTTCACCAAGACATCCTCATACCTCAGACCACCCTCATTATCCAAGCAGAAATAGCCGAATGATCCGAAATGATCCGAATGCGGAAATGGAATAGGTGAAAAATGGTGAAAAAGAACAGCATTCCTTGCGCTTTTCAAACCAAATGAGGAAATGAGGGATGAAGCATGGAGCTATGACCTTTGAGCCATCGGGAGAATGTGCTGCAAGGACAGTCGACCTCGGCCGCTCTCCCTGCCATTCTCGGTTCGCAGTGTCACGCCAACACTTCAGAGTATAGCTGAGCGTGCTAAATTCCCAAAGCGGGAGTGGATAGCATCATTCAGTGCTGACTCATGATCTAGCATGTATACCTTTAAATCATGTGCTACAAAGTTAAGGCATGTGCCCATTTCTGATCCTTCAACGCCCGAAGACACTTTGGACTCACGGCCCGACTCAGAGCGCATGCAGGAGGACACCCTAAGGCCCAGCTGGATCTTGGTGCGGGTCTTGCTGGCATCGAAGGTTGAAGTCATTGGCTGCACTGCGGAGGCTTCACACAAACGTTGACCAACGGCACGCCGAGCAGCTCGAGCACGTCTGGCTGCGCCAGCTGTTCGAGTGCGGCCCGAACTGCGACGAGCTCCGGCTGCAAAGCAAGCAGCACGAGCTCCGCAGAACGCAGCAGTGGTAGTGGTGGTAGTGGTGGCAGCGGTCTCACTTTCCACTGCACACATCATGGTTTTGGCGTCCATAGAGATCAGTGGCACGGGGACAGCTGGAGGCATCACAGTCTCAGTTGGTTGGTCTTCGAATTGCAACAAGTCCTCCATCTGAGTTGTCTTTGCAATGGTAGCGCTTGTGGTGGTGACTGTACTTGGTGGAGTCATACCCACAACACAGCGGAGGGAAGACTTGGACGTCTTGTTCTTGCTCATACGTGTTGCAGCAAGGCATAGTAGGGCCACTGAGGCTGCAGCTTTGAAGAGGCTCACCTGGGTGTTGGGTGTGGCCAATCCTCCATTGCGGTTGGTTGGCTGAGCCGTCTTCACCTCCCAAGTCGGCTTGGGTGTTGTCACTTGAAAGGAAGGAGAGGCGGAGACAAAGGCATCGCCCACTGTTACCAGCAGCAGGCAACTTGCTGCCAGTAAGGCAAGTCTGGCAGCACCATGCCCTTTGGAAGATGTCGACCGTCGCATGGCACACTGTGTTTAGGACGCAGATAGCCTTCAAGTCTGAGCCCTCCGGCGGCCGCGACATTTCAGCCATTTGCTTTGCTTGTCAGATTTGCTCAATCATCTAAATTGGGGTTTCCATAAACGGGGGATCCCCAAAATGGTTGGTTTTACAGTGGGAAATCAACAAAAAATTATGATTTAGGGGTACCCCCCATTTCAGGAAACCTCAAAATATCTTCCAAACAAGCAGAAACAGCAAGTTCAAAGCTCTAGGAGCTCAGGCTCCACTTATAGTCATAGGTGCTGAAGGCAGCCCGCGAGTGGCCTGCAAAATACTCACAGTTGTTGCCCCTCGGAGATATTTGAAAATTTGAATCAAAGATGGGGCACAACTCATAGAACATACCCTCTGGTAATTTAACATAGCTATTGAAAATGACCATTTATAGTGGATTTTCCCATTAAAAATGGTGATTTTCAATAGCTATGTTAAATTACCAGAGGGTAACCAAACAAGGGGTGTTTAAGGGCTCCCACCTCGGCTCCCATCTCATCACCCATTTTATTGGGCTTCCGTGATTCTTTGTGATAACATTGCTTATAGTTCATAGACTTGTCCATGACTTTTGAAAAGACTCAATATTCATGGAATAGATGAAGCCCACTTCACCCATCTCCATAAAAATCACCCCAGTTTCTTTGTTAGTAACTCTAGTAGGGTATTCGGATATTCTCCTGTTCATCATGCCCAACTTGGATCCTGGCAAACACTCGATGAAAACACTCCCGGAAGACTTCAGCGCTTGTGTCCATAACCTTTCGACGCATTGGACCATGAAAACTCCCCAAGATGACAAAAAAAGGCGAAAGAGAAAAGGCCAGGAGCTTTTCAAACATGATTGAAACGAATACACAAAAATACGTAGAAAAATTGGAGGAACAACCATGCAATGGAAAGAAAGGCTACACCTGACTTCAGATCCACTGTCTTCAAAACCTCCTGGTAGTTGCCAGCAACATTGCTCAGCACGTGCAGCGAAATTGCCACGCTATGCCTTGGGCCCAAAAAAACGAAGTGGATTTCCCTTCCAAAGAAGACCAGCTGCAAATTAGTCACTTCAAATAATAGCATGTCCAAGTGTAAAAGGAATCATCCTAGGTCCTAGATGGGTTTGTCTGAAAATCGGGTACACCCCCAAATGGCCATGTGGTGGGGATATGATACTTGTCCAATGGATTTAGGGTGTCCCATCATTTTCAGACAAACCCCAATGTGAAAAAATACCGGAAACTGTTGCCCTTCTTAAACACCGAAACCCGAAAAAGGTGAAGAGGTAGCAGAGCATTGCTCAGTTGGGTACGTGTAGTCGACAGTCCACTTCTGCCGCAACAGAATCTGAAGGACCGGACGACACCTCGATAAAACAATCTGGCCATCTAGGCACATTTTTCACTGTGCATCTAAGCCATTTGGCTTGGATTGAGTTGATATCATGATTCTTGTGCGTCGCAACCCCTTTCTAGCGTTCTTCATCAACAGCTTGATCTCCTGCCATCTTCCTGTGGAACACATCGACAGAGTGCCGCGGAACAAGCCTTGGGGCATGTGGTATAGCTCACCATCCTTGAGCAAGTTGGTGGAAATGAGGATTCGTTGAAATCTGCCCAAGCACCCATTTAAGAATTTACGATCATTTAAGTAGACTTATTTTGGAGATCCCCGATTTGTTTCCCATGTTTGATGGTGCTCTTGAATAGATCCATCTACCTACGAATTCAAAGAGGCCCACTGCTCTCTTGCACTCATAGATCCAAAATGATCCAAAATCCTTCACAACCGGAGTTGCGATGAGTTGCAGAGACATGCAAAAAGATCAATTCTTTGTAGCCACCCACCAAACTGCACTGAAAGCCAAGTTGTGTAACGAATAGTCCTGAAGCCGTGCGAAGGCACTCAGAACGGCCAGGCATTCAACCGCTTGCACTGCTGGCACGCAGAGCTCAGACCTGCAGCAACAAACATGGACGCCAAATCAACCACATGTTTCGCCATGCAAAACATTCAATGGAGCTTAACATAGCTTAACCATACCAAAGGATGCTGTGAATTTGGGACTTCAAAAACTACTTTTGATTTACGCCTTTACGCCATGGACATGCGATGCATTGGCTTCGGCCGATCGCCAGACCTCACCATGCCCTCAGTTACCCACGGGTCGATCTCGGAATGGACTCTCTATCTGTCCTACTCTGAAGCAAAGGAAATGCAAAGGCACGGAGCCTCTTCCAAGCACTCTCCTAGGAAGTGCAAAGATCCTGCCGAAACAAGACCCTGAATCACTGACCCTCAACCGCTGTTCAGAGGTCTTGCATGGAAGTAATACGGCAAGTGACTATCCGGCAGAACACACAGACACAAACTGCAACAGCATGTGGCAGTTGGGCGTGATCAAAACAGCAAAATGGAGGAAGCACATCCAGCGCTTTGTTTTCCGGCTTTGGGCAGGACTCTGTTCGATCTGACCCAACCCATCTCAAAAAACATGTAAAAGGTGTTCTCGGGAGTATACATATGTGTATGGTTCTCTGCATATACATAACATGTTGATTCTTTGTATCTTTGTTGTTGTGGTTCCATATTGGTCTTCAATGTTTGTTCCTTAAGTTGGAAGGTTTTTGTGTCGAGGGTTCTGGATTTTGTTTGGTGGCTAAATTTCACTCCAGCAATTATAGTTGCTGTTGTGTTTTATGTATCGGTTTCTGCGTTTATCCTCTCCAGGTGCTTATTGCATCCCACCAGTATTCACCGTTTTTTATCCGTGAGTATTTCACTTCGTCTCCTTCTCTTGGTTGCCTAGTTCTTCTACTTACTCAGCGGGTCAACATGCAAAAAAAAACGTTGGGTTTGTGTAAAATTGCCCCCCCTGGCGCGCGCGAACCTAACAAAAAAAGGATTCAAATTTAGACACTGGCTGAGTTTGTATACTAGCAGACAGTGATCTATCATCAGTGCATTCACTTCTCTGTCTCAGTTCAAGTCTTTTCACACTGAATGATGTTGTTTTTATCGACCAAATTGTCGCTCATGTTTCTTAATGATGTTGTAGTTGGTGGCATTCACTTTCACATGCACGTGTCACAAGCTGCTTTTCAAAAAAAAATGATGAGGCAACTGAACATTTTTTGACAAAATCCACTACTGCTTTGTTTACTTTTTCTCATCATATTCTTCCTCATCGTTTCATGGTTTCAATTGCTGAAGTCAGCAATGAGTCCTACATCCTCTAATTTGAAAAACTGTGATTTTGCTCCATGCATCTTCTTTTACTTTCTGTCCACATATAGTGTTTAATGTGTGTGTGTGTGTTCCTTCACAGTAAGCATTTGGTGTTTTGTTCGTATCAAGACGACAATTCCGGCGTTGTCTCCGACATCAATATTTCTAACACCTCCAGTCACTTCCATCAAGACAACAAACCACTCTTACCTGTCCTACCTCATTCCTCTCAAACATTGAACAGCCAATCACTTGTGATATTCACCGACAGGGCGATGCGCTTTACCTACAACTTTCCAGTCGTTGGTTCAGTCCCTCAAACAACCAGTAGAAGCACTTACATACATCTTCACAACAATAGTTGCAAATGCCAGCAAAGCTGACAATATCCTCACAATATGTATTTAGCGTAAATCTATTTACCCACATTTTGGGTATGAGGGAGGTTTCCAAGAAGTGCTGAAACCTCACACTCTTCTCTATGTCATCCCCTTTTGTGGGACAGAGGAACATCAACAAAAGAAGTTTACTTTGAACAATGATGAACAACGGTACAACAATCATCCCTGAACTGTCAACAATAAGCACCTACAAAAAGCACGAAACAATCACGGTTCAATAAAACCTCATACACGTAGGGCTAATTCTTTCTTCGCTGGTTTTAATCTGAAAAAGCTGCACAGTGCCAACTAAACCGGACTGAATTTTAAAAAGAATCCAAATATGGTCATCCATCTTAAGCCTTTGTATGGAACTGACCTCTACACCAAAGATGAAAATGGAACTGATACTGGACTGGTGCCTTATCATGAAACACAAAAAAGCATCTTGGATATGAAAGCCCATCGCGCGTCGTTTTCTAGAGCTAATGACTTAAAACATTTGATGTCCATTCACTGCAATAATAGATTGCATCTTCCTACACTATCAACAGGATGGAGGCATAACATGGCATAGTTTGTTAGACCCATTGGAGTCATTGGAGCTGGAGGAGACAGCCAATTTTTTCATGGTGTGTGTTATCCTTTTTTTGATGGAAGTCAATTAATTCAAGACTATACTCAACGGAAAAATCTTGAATTTTTGGAACTTAATTTAAGACTGACCAATGGGAGGCCAAAAATTAAGGGAACTCTTTCGCACTACTTCTTTGTGCATGGTAGTAGCAGACTTGATGGACAAAATTAACAGCACATCTATACTGCATGCCATCACAGGTGAGGTTGCGCATAGCCTGTCAAAAAAACAGCTATCTTGACATTAATACCTTGAAATCCTAAGATTGTCTTTTAATCCCATCTCGAGTTTCACATTCAATTTCATGGGTTGGATCAGGTTTTCCCCCGCGTACTAAGGTGAGACAAACCATCTATGCACGCAATTTCTTGCGGTCAAGTCTATTTTGGACTTGAAGAAGCTCTATTATCTATGCCTTTCCAAGCTGTCCTCGAATTCCCGGCGTGCTTCTGATTACTGCAGTTTTATGCCCTCCATTGGACCTCCATCATTCTCAAATGATCCTTTTGACATCGCCAAATCGCCAAAACTGCAGCTTGCTGCAGTTTTGGAAAAGCTGAATCAGCTGCAACTCTTCACTTGCTCCAGGATCAAGTCCACCTGCGCTCCCGAGCTCCCACTGCCATCACCATGGTCACCATGTCACCATGTCAGGCAGGCCTTACTCAAGGCCTCCCAAAGCTTCGCTCCTTTGGTCTTCAAGAACTCGGGATCCACCTGGTCGAGTCGAGCCCAAGATCTTTTGAAAAAAATCCGCTACCAATGAACCTGTGCAAAATCTCTAGGGTCCCACGCCGACAACTTGCTTCCATCAGCTACAAACCCGCACGCCTTCCGACGTCTAAATAGTGTAACAGTTCGCCATGATATGAATTGAACATTTTTTGAACATGATAGTACTTACATATGTGTTACATATATTTTAATATTAACATATTGTATATTTTTAATATAATATTTTAACTGTTGCATATTGCAACAGATTACCTTTGTGGCCAAGGATCCAAGGATCTCTCAAGGTGCACCATGCCAAAGAGGTACTGTCCCTAGCCGCCTGCAGCACCGCAAGAGCACCCTCCACAGATGCGACCTTGTTTCGAAAGTGACTGTTCTCACCTTGGCACAGTTGCAAACGTGTCATCAACATGAAAAGCTGGAGAAAGAACTTCCACATTTTCCCTCAAACAGTTGAACCACCACTTACCAACATGAACAAAATCATCCTTGCGAAAGAAGCAGATAGCCTCTGACACCAGGCCGTCAAAGGCCCTGGCAATTAATGGACTGGTACTTCACCTCCTTGACACCATGATTTCAAAATGGTTTCGAGCAAAATAGCAAAATGAAGGAACTGCTTGTGACCTGGGGGTACTTGGCGAGGTTGCTGATGTAGGCTCGCAGAGTCTGCCTTGCAGGCATCCCTACCGCATCACAAGAAGCCAGCAGTTTGGTGACATCTGCTGGGACGCCAACAAGCATGTAGCAAGCTCGGACGGATCGCGCTTTAAATGAAGTCTTCGTAGAGCCTCCACAACAAGATTTGGCACCCCACTGATGATCTAATGTTCGGCCACATCGTGCCTGCAAGGCAGTAACAACTCCATCACTTTCACGTTGATCGCCAGCCTCCCAAGCTTGGAGCATCATATAAGTTGGTCTGAAAATAGGGTGCGAGAAAAAATGGTCGTTCACGATAAAGCGTAAAACCTGCTTTTTTGGACAAACCCGCAATTCGAATGTCAAAAACATCTGCCGTCTGGCGGATATCCTCGGCTTCTTTCCTCTTCACCTCCGCCTGAGATGGCTTCCATCAAGGTATCTATCTATCTGTCTATCTCCACCGGATGAAAATAGGGCGGCTCGAACTGCTAAATTTTAACCATATCACCAAATCCCACAATCCATGTGTCAAACCTTCATAAAAGCCTTTCACAGCCGGCAAAAAACATTTCTGAAAACTGCAAGGGGATGGCGGGTTGGTGCTGCCTCTTCGCGTTCTCTCCTGAGGTCTTCAGCTTCTTTGGCCGCAAAACGCTCAGCTGCTTTCGTCACTTGAACGTCGGCCTAGCTCCATCCCCGGCAGAGTTGCGAAAGCTAATCAAATTGGATCCCTCAAAGGTTGCACCAAAAAGTAAAAATGGATGATGTTCAATCAAAGTTCATGTTTATTTTCAGTGTCCCCAGGTAGAAGGGACCACCAAAACAGGAGCAATGGCAGGAATACCGTAGCTGAGACTGCCCCATTTCCCATTGCCTGCACAGGCGGATTGCCACTTGCTACTGCAGCAGCCAGACTCTGCGCAGCTGCGTTGCTGCCAGCTGCCACACCCGAGGTAGAGCTGGTGGGTTGTCGAGCCGCTGCCTCCACCACTGCACTCTGACTCTACAAAACTCGTATCAAGCACCTTGTTTAGCTGCTAAGCTATCATTTGGAGCGCTGTAGCAAAAGGGACATTTCACTGGCGCCACTTTTGTCCAAATCTTTGCCTTGCTCTTCGAAGGGTTGATGCCACTGGATGGACCAGAAGTATCAGAGCTCATGGGCCGTGGAGCTCCTGCCTCGACATCCAATGGTCAGAGCACCAATTCAAACATCTTTCCAACATCTTTTCCTCAATCCATTTGGACGCCTGCCACGTGACCTTTGGATACCTTCGAAAGTTTCTGCAAAGAAAACCTCTAGAACCAGGGTCGGGATAATCAAAAATTCCTTGCCTTGGTGTGAGGCATGCTGCTAGTTGCTGCCACATCCGATGGTGTAGTAGAGCTCATGGGTTGTCGCACAGTCCCCGCCTTTCCCAGCATTTGGGCTCACAGGCGCATATTGCTCTGGCCATTGCGCCCGTTTGTCCCAAGACATCAGATAGGCTACAAAAAAATGTCCGGATTCTCCCATTCCCATGAGAATTGCCTGCTTGGGTTGTACCGTCATACCCAATTTTTCAACAAACCCGGATTGCCTTGCTCTTCGGCAGGTTGGTGCCGCTCTTTGGAACAGCTGAAGAGATTGAGGAGCTGGTGTGCCGCTGAGCCCCTGCCTTGCATTGTTGTACATCGTTTCAGGCATGATGTCATACTACTTCATGTATTGATATGTCTTGTATTTCTATCTTCCAGGTTCTGAACCTGCAAAGACATGTGGTCAACCAACTAGATACACCCGAATCACCAATCAATATCAATCTACTTGGTTTCTGGCCTTGCTTTGAGGAAGACTGCCAGCTGCTGACACGCCAGAAAGCTCAGGATTGACGGTTTGTCGCGGGCCAGCCACCTGCAACTTTAGTTCGATAGACACTTACTGGACACATAGATTTTCACACCTCTGGAAAGTTCAATCCCCAAATCTTAGTGTCATAGATCCTTTGAACTCAAGACACGAAACTTGTAGGGTGCTGTATCCCCGACGGGAAACTTTTGAACATCATCAAGTTCTTCAAGTGATCAAATTATATCAAATTTTAAGAGAGGGGGAGAATGACAGCCAGCAATGCATGTTTTTTGACATTGAAAACAAAACATCATGAGACCAAGACGGGCCTTGTGAAGGTTGCTGCCAGCTGACAACTGTCCGGAAGACACAGCCACAGCAGAAGAGCCAGCTGCTTGTCGAGGTCCAGCTGCCTCAGTTTCCCCGGGGCTTTTCATACATGTTTAGCTGTAGCTGTTCAACTCTTGCTAGAGCAAGGCGCACACGCAAAACGAACCAGTCACTCGCGCCTTGCTTTGAGGGATGCTGGTTGGCATACCCGAAGACATCGCAGCGCTCGCAGCTTGCCGTGGAACACTTGCCTTGCTGGACTACTGTATCTTTCAATGCAATCAAGTACCCACCAATAATTCTACGACATAGCCACGAAAAGTAAATAAATACAGAGTTGCACAGGAAGCCACACACGGCCATCGTCCACAACTCAAAAGAAAACGCTTCTCCAGCTATCCTGACCAACCATGACCAAGGTCAGGAGGGCCTTATTGTTGAAGCTGCCGGCTGCTGAAGAAACGTAGCTGGGTGGTTGCCGGGGCGCACTTGCCTTTGCAAACTCAAGGTGACAGAGTCTTCACACTGATTCAAGCTCAGTATGGCTCAGTTGCATCTTCAAGACTCATTTGGGTCTGTCTGAAAAAGGAAGATACCCTGCAAATGACCATCTTACTGGGGAAAATGATGATGAAATGTCAAATTTGGGGGTACTCTATTTTAAGACAACCAAATTTCATCTTTGTGTGGAGCATCTTGCACCTTGTCCAAAGGACTTTGACGAGGCTCCATAGATCCCGAGTTGTGTGCCACCTCTGCCTCATGTCCGGGGCGATATATATATATAGATATATGTTTGCGCAAATACACATGTGTATATATATATATATGTATGTGTATATATATATGTATATATATATGATATATGTGTGTATATACATATTTGGGTAGGGCCAGGGGGTGTAAGTGTTCACAAATGACACTCCACAACACATCCTGCTTGGCTGTTCATTTTGTGTCATCTTTCAGCACCCGTTGCACCTTGTGCACATGCTTTGGCATCTTTGTCGTCTCACCCTCTTCAGCAACTCTTGGAGCTTTCCGAGGCTTTTCCTGAGCTCACTGCTCTGCTGTGGAGAAGTTTGCTTTGAGATGCATGGCATGGATTTCCAGTGTGTCGCACCTTCTCAAGCGCCTTCTCGGAAGTTTCCAGTCTTCTAGCAGCTTCCCTGCAGATGGCATTGGTGTGAAGACTGCACTCTGTTTTTTTTGGCCACGCCTCCCAGCGAGGATTCCATCTGCCTGCGGCACCAAAAAACGCCAATTTCGTGGTAGGATTTCCCATCAAAGCCAGATGAAATCTATGGTGCCATCGTATGCTGACCGCCTGTGGCTGCAAGTTGCTGTGCTTCGAGGATGCCTAAGTTTGTGGTTCAGGAAGTGCTTACCTCTGACCAAGTCCCAAAAATTGCTGGCAGATGGATGTTCATTCCCCATGTTTTTCTGAAAAAACATAGGTTTACAATGAGCCATTCCTAGGTTGGAAACTTAGGAAGCTGCAAATGCAGCTGCTGTCACAGGCGTGTATCTTGATTCAAGGCTTGGAGCTGGCCTAAGGCGGTGAATACACCCATCCAGAGAAACAAAATACCATGCTGTCAGGGATATCATGCTGATGATTTTTCTGAAAAAAAACGGAATCGACTGTGGTTGATTCTTTCAATAATCATATTGCTGTAGTTTTGATGAGAGTGTGATTGTGCCTGGAAGCTGGAAGGCCGTTGGGCGGCCTCCCACAGCACACGGCCCAAACCCATCCGTGTCCCATCGGCAACCTCTTTAAAGCCGAACCAGTCGCCACCAGAAATCACCAGAACTTCTGGGGAAGGCCTGATTTATACATATTTACACCTTCTGAATACATTGAACTCTTGTCTCTAGCCTTTCCTGAAAGACTGCCTTGCAAGACTTCGTCCCATTCCGCCCTGGCTGTGCCCCCCTTTCCGCCTCGGATTGAGCTCCGGCGCGCCTCAGCACAGTGGCCCAAATCCACCTTTTTCGAATCGACGGGAATGACATGGAATGAGTCCCTTAGGAGCTTTCATTGGAAGTCTTGGATCTTCACCTGGAGATCGGCTGGAAGCGACGCTTCTCGACAGTCCTGGCAGGATGACTGGCAGAACTTAGGAATTCTCAATCAAAAATTTTCTCTAAGAAGATCTAAGAAGCATTTTGTCCCACTTCTATCTTCAGTGCAAGAGCAATTCGGGCAATTCAGGCCGTTCTCCAAGCATTCACCAAACACTGAGTGTGACAGTTTGCACACCTGGCTCTGGATAAGAAGGTGCGGCTCGACGATGACTGTCAGAGAAATCAAAGGTCGTGTCAGAGGGCACAAGAAAACAGACCAGAGCACAATCTACCGCCGCTATCTGACTTTTCAGCAGGGCGGCAAAAAATACAGTACCTAGCCACTGCCCGCTGCACTGCGCCTACCAGAGTTGTCAACCTCAAAGACAAAATGATCACTACGGCTGGTTCCGATGCAAACAGTGGACAGAATGTTTGAGTGAAAAGGGCACAACCACCTAGGAGGCCAAGCAAGCAAGGATCTTTTCAAAGCTTTTGCATAGTGCTGTGCATCTCCCTTTTTTCTTGCTTGCACCACACAGTCGGCCAGGAGAGTCATTGGTCTGACTCTATGCGCAAAGAACGCAAACACCACCAGCTTCCTTGATCTTTGTCTCTGCCTGGGTTAGAAGACTTGAGAGTCTGAAATGAAAGGTCAGTAGGAACTATCATGAATCATGAAACCAAATCGACGATTCCTTGCAAACTTGCCGGCCTCCTTGGTGAAGTAGCGAGCCTTCACGATCACAGGCTGCTGTGGCAGCTTGCCCTTGCCGCAGACCTTGCAAAGTCTGGCACTGCAGGTGACTGAATTCCTATGAATTCCTACTTGAAGTCGAAAGACTATTGCAAAAGGCGAAAGACTATTCGGAAAGATTGAAAAGACTGTTTGTCAACTACAATCACATGCTGCACGAATCATAACTTCTTGTCCACAGTCTACAGTGAGTCTACAGTCTACACCACCAGCCCACCAGCAATGTGCAGTCATCATGGATACTTGCAACACCCACAGCCTTCATGTAGCCGGCTTTCATGACGTCGATCACTGGAGCCTTGTCAGTCTTGTCCTGTCGTAGAGAAAAAACCACTCTCTGCCTCTCTGCATATCACAAATAGGCACATGGTGCTTTTCTTTGGCAAGTCTAACTACACATGGGGCAAAATGGCTATCGCATGGCTCTTGCCCCTAAGGGTCCTTGTAGTGCTCACGGGTCCTCTCGGACACAAGCGACCTGAGTCTTACATTGCGGACAGGCTGTAGGTACATGGATGTATCCTCTCTTATTGCTTGATACATCCTGGATGAAGCGCTTTGCTGGCACAGTGTAGGACTATATTAGTCTATGTTCTCAGTTCTCAGTAGCTAGCAGCATCAAGAATTGAGTATGAGGAACAGGCCACAATCGCTCCACATTGATGATGGGGCAGACCTTGCCGTGCTTGATCAAGTGAAAGTTGCGCATACCGACCTGCCGCCATCCATTCAAATGCCGGCAAAAGAAACTGTGAACCGGTCTCAAAGTAGCTTGAAAAGACACTACCATTGATTCATTTACTGTGGATGCCCTCAATGGTAGCTGTCTTTGCTGCAACTCAAAAAAAAGACATCGCCTTTCCAAAGTAACCTGGATGGTACCTGAAACAAACATGGCATGGCCGTCACGGCGCATCGGACATGTCGCACTCCAAACAACCAACGCGACATCTTCGCCATTCGGGCTCACTTGTCGAAGTTGATTCGGTGGTGGTGCTGACCGCCAGCATTTCCGCAACCACCAGGATGCTTACGATGCTTTCCGATACGACCGTGGCCTGTCAATCAACCAATCGAAAAGGTTTCGTGGAACCAAGTCCCCTTGAAAACATCCGGCCTCTTTTCCTGTGGCCGTGCATCTTGCGGCTTTTCCTGAGGTGGGCCACCATCTTGCCTCAGAAGTGCCAGACTTCAGGGGAGTTATCAACTGGACACTGTCTTCCCTGCAGCCTACTTGTAAATCTTTCAACTTGATCTGCTGATGTACAGTGCCTCTGATGTACAGTACCTCGTCATCCATTCTATTGCTGCTGAGAAACACAGATGTTCTGCGCGGCCCCGGCCTACTTAGGGCAAGCAAACCTTGATCCTACAAATGCCGCGGCATCGAAGGCTTGGCAGGCCATGCACCTTTTGTGCTAATTCAGGTTCGCTCACAGCTCACTCCAGATACCTCTGATACTTTGCAATTCTCTCATCTTACCAGAGTGTCGCAAGTTGAGAGTGTTGAATCACGGGGTGCAAAGTTGAAAGTTGCAAAGTATTGGGGATCTTCAGCTGCTTCAGCTCTGGCTTTTTCACTGGACACAACTGCCAACCAGCTTGCTTTGTGAATAACCCTTCCAACTTCCATCAGCATAACATCACGCATCGGGCATTTCTGAGCGGTTTTTCTTGCTTGCACCACACAGTCGGCCAGGAGAGTCATTGGTCTGACTCTATGCGCAAAGAACGCAAACACCACCAGCTTCCTTGATCTTTGTCTCTGCCTGGGTTAGAAGACTTGAGAGTCTGAAATGAAAGGTCAGTAGGAACTATCATGAATCATGAAACCAAATCGACGATTCCTTGCAAACTTGCCGGCCTCCTTGGTGAAGTAGCGAGCCTTCACGATCACAGGCTGCTGTGGCAGCTTGCCCTTGCCGCAGACCTTGCAAAGTCTGGCACTGCAGGTGACTGAATTCCTATGAATTCCTACTTGAAGTCGAAAGACTATTGCAAAAGGCGAAAGACTATTCGGAAAGATTGAAAAGACTGTTTGTCAACTACAATCACATGCTGCACGAATCATAACTTCTTGTCCACAGTCTACAGTGAGTCTACAGTCTACACCACCAGCCCACCAGCAATGTGCAGTCATCATGGATACTTACAACACCCACAGCCTTCATGTAGCCGGCTTTCATGACGTCGATCACTGGAGCCTTGTCAGTCTTGTCCTGTTGTAGAGAAAAAACCACTCTCTGCCTCTCTGCATATCACAAATAGGCATGGTGCTTTTCTTTGGCAAGTCTAACTACACATGGGGCAAAATGGCTATCGCATGGCTCTTGCCCCTAAGGGTCCTTGTAGTGCTCACGGGTCCTCTCGGACACAAGCGACCTGAGTCTTACATTGCGGACAGGCTGTAGGTACATGGATGTATCCTCTCTTATTGCTTGATACATCCTGGATGAAGCGCTTTGCTGGCACAGTGCTAGGACTATATTAGTCTATGTTCTCAGTTCTCAGTAGCTAGCAGCATCAAGAATTGAGTATGAGGAACAGGCCACAATCGCTCCACATTGATGATGGGGCAGACCTTGCCGTGCTTGATCAAGTGAAAGTTGCGCATACCGACCTGCCGCCATCCATTCAAATGCCGGCAAAAGAAACTGTGAACCGGTCTCAAAGTAGCTTGAAAAGACACTACCATTGATTCATTTACTGTGGATGCCCTCAATGGTAGCTGTCTTTGCTGCAACTCAAAAAAAAGACATCGCCTTTCCAAAGTAACCTGGATGGTACCTGAAACAAACATGGCATGGCCGTCACGGCGCATCGGACATGTCGCACTCCAAACAACCAACGCGACATCTTCGCCATTCGGGCTCACTTGTCGAAGTTGATTCGGTGGTGGTGCTGACCGCCAGCATTTCCGCAACCACCAGGATGCTTACGATGCTTTCCGATACGACCGTGGCCTGTCAATCAACCAATCGAAAAGGTTTCGTGGAACCAAGTCCCCTTGAAAACATCCGGCCTCTTTTCCTGTGGCCGTGCATCTTGCGGCTTTTCCTGAGGTGGGCCACCATCTTGCCTCAGAAGTGCCAGACTTCAGGGGAGTTATCAACTGGACACTGTCTTCCCTGCAGCCTACTTGTAAATCTTTCAACTTGATCTGCTGATGTACAGTGCCTCTGATGTACAGTACCTCGTCATCCATTCTATTGCTGCTGAGAAACACAGATGTTCTGCGCGGCCCCGGCCTACTTAGGGCAAGCAAACCTTGATCCTACAAATGCCGCGGCATCGAAGGCTTGGCAGGCCATGCACCTTTTGTGCTAATTCAGGTTCGCTCACAGCTCACTCCAGATACCTCTGATACTTTGCAATTCTCTCATCTTACCAGAGTGTCGCAAGTTGAGAGTGTTGAATCACGGGGTGCAAAGTTGAAAGTTGCAAAGTATTGGGGATCTTCAGCTGCTTCAGCTCTGGCTTTTTCACTGGACACAACTGCCAACCAGCTTGCTTTGTGAATAACCCTTCCAACTTCCATCAGCATAACATCACGCATCGGGCATTTCTGAGCGGTTTTTCTTGCTTGCACCACACAGTCGGCCAGGAGAGTCATTGGTCTGACTCTATGCGCAAAGAACGCAAACACCACCAGCTTCCTTGATCTTTGTCTCTGCCTGGGTTAGAAGACTTGAGAGTCTGAAATGAAAGGTCAGTAGGAACTATCATGAATCATGAAACCAAATCGACGATTCCTTGCAAACTTGCCGGCCTCCTTGGTGAAGTAGCGAGCCTTCACGATCACAGGCTGCTGTGGCAGCTTGCCCTTGCCGCAGACCTTGCAAAGTCTGGCACTGCAGGTGACTGAATTCCTATGAATTCCTACTTGAAGTCGAAAGACTATTGCAAAAGGCGAAAGACTATTCGGAAAGATTGAAAAGACTGTTTGTCAACTACAATCACATGCTGCACGAATCATAACTTCTTGTCCACAGTCTGCAGTGAGTCTACAGTCTACACCACCAGCCCACCAGCAATGTGCAGTCATCATGGATACTTGCAACACCCACAGCCTTCATGTAGCCGGCTTTCATGACGTCGATCACTGGAGCCTTGTCAGTCTTGTCCTGTCGTAGAGAAAAAACCACTCTCTGCCTCTCTGCATATCACAAATAGGCACATGGTGCTTTTCTTTGGCAAGTCTAACTACACATGGGGCAAAATGGCTATCGCATGGCTCTTGCCCCTAAGGGTCCTTGTAGTGCTCACGGGTCCTCTCGGACACAAGCGACCTGAGTCTTACATTGCGGACAGGCTGTAGGTACATGGATGTATCCTCTCTTATTGCTTGATACATCCTGGATGAAGCGCTTTGCTGGCACAGTGTAGGACTATATTAGTCTATGTTCTCAGTTCTCAGTAGCTAGCAGCATCAAGAATTGAGTATGAGGAACAGGCCACAATCGCTCCACATTGATGATGGGGCAGACCTTGCCGTGCTTGATCAAGTGAAAGTTGCGCATACCGACCTGCCGCCATCCATTCAAATGCCGGCAAAAGAAACTGTGAACCGGTCTCAAAGTAGCTTGCAAAGACACTACCATTGATTCATTTACTGTGGATGCCCTCAATGGTAGCTGTCTTTGCTGCAACTCAAAAAAAAGACATTGCCTTTCCAAAGTAACCTGGATGGTACCTGAAACAAACATGGCATGGCCGTCACGGCGCATCGGACATGTCGCACTCCAAACAACCAACGCGACATCTTCGCCATTCGGGCTCACTTGTCGAAGTTGATTCGGTGGTGGTGCTGACCGCCAGCATTTCCGCAACCACCAGGATGCTTACGATGCTTTCCGATACGACCGTGGCCTGTCAATCAACCAATCGAAAAGGTTTCGTGGAACCAAGTCCCCTTGAAAACATCCGGCCTCTTTTCCTGTGGCCGTGCATCTTGCGGCTTTTCCTGAGGTGGGCCACCATCTTGCCTCAGAAGTGCCAGACTTCAGGGGAGTTATCAACTGGACACTGTCTTCCCTGCAGCCTACTTGTAAATCTTTCAACTTGATCTGCTGATGTACAGTGCCTCTGATGTACAGTACCTCGTCATCCATTCTATTGCTGCTGAGAAACACAGATGTTCTGCGCGGCCCCGGCCTACTTAGGGCAAGCAAACCTTGATCCTACAAATGCCGCGGCGTAGAAATGCTTGGCAGCTCATCTGCTTGCTCCTGATGAATACTGTCGTCATTCGAGGGTTTGTTGCCAAATACGAATCACAGATTTCGCATCTGCACCCTTGGTGCAACATGATGCAACTAAAGATCTAACTTTCTGCATTGCACGACAATTGATAGTGGCAAATGCACATTGTTGGAAACGCCCACTGAGAACAGCTCCGCGCGATCTGGACCGGCTGCCTTCAGGAATCCTGGTGATGTGGCTAAGAGATGCTAAGAGGTCAATACAGTTTTTCAAGTCAAAGTCAAAGTATCGCAGGCGCTGAGGAATTTATCTGATCGCCAATCCCCTTCATTTGACTTGGAGATACTTGGAGGCATTAAAGAAACCTTACCCACATACCACCCAACCATGCTCCCAGTCCTGAGTTCGGGGGGCCTGGATGTGCCTGGCATGCCTGGGATGCCTCCATGGCAGCTGCCAGAGCCGCCTGCTCTTCAATATCTGCTTGCCGCAAGAACTCCTCCTCACTGGCGCGCAAAGCATCCTCCAACTCTTGCCTGAACTGCAAGAACCGCAGGATCATTGGACTGCTGATTTCTGTAGCAAAAATGACCACCATTGGAGTAACAATTCAGCCGCAGAAAATTGGTGTATTGCTACTGGCTTGATGTTTTGTTAGTATCAATTGTCCAGTGGAAATACGCCAATTATTCGGAAAATTTGTAACGTTACAAGTAAAAAACAATTGGTATCACTTACTAATTTCTTAATTGACACGTTCATTAGTTTTTGGTGCCAAGAAAGACTACTGGGTTGATGTAGATACTGGTTTACTACTAATCCGCCGACCCTTGCCTAGCATTGGCCTAGGCGGGGCGGCGCCCGGGATCACCGCAGGTGTGCGACATCTCCAAACATGTTCCATTTCAAATTACTCACCGTTTCTATATGGGATCGAAACTGCCATGCAGCCATTCGAAGCTGCGATGTGGCACGTTTCGGCGCCGCTGCAGCGTTAGGCCCCATGCCACGGCTGCAAGGCTGCAGCCGCAGCAATAGCGGTTCGAAACTGCCATGTGCTGCAACCCAAGCTGCAGCATGCTGCCTAGCCCCTCACTGTTTCTATAGCGGTTTGAAACTGCACCTTTCGGCGCCCTTTAAAGGTCTCAAACCCTCCGCTGCAGCGTTAGGCTCCGCTGCCAAGGCTGCAAAGCTGCAACCAAGGCTGGGTAGATAGATAGATAGGTAGATAGATGGATAGATGGATACATAGATGGATGGATACATAGATGGATGATGGATGGATGGATGGACGGACGGACGGACGGACAGATAGATAGATAGCTAGATAGCTAGATAGCTAGATAGATCGATCAATCGATCGATCGATCGATAGAGGGATAGAGGGATATAGGGGGGTATAGAGGGATATAGAGGGATATAGAGGGATATAGAGGGATATAGAGGGATATAGAGGGATATAGAGGGATATAGAGGGATATAGAGGGATAAGAAAGATAGACAGATAGACGGATGGACGGATAGATGGATAGATCGATATAGACCGATCTTAAGCCGCTGAGCGCTGCCCAAACAAGCCTTTCCGCTGCAGCCTCAGAAACCGTTGCCAAGGCTGCGGCTGCAACCCAAGCCGCTGAACGCTGCCCAAACAAGCCCCTCACTGTTTCTATAGAGCGCTGCAGCGGGCACCGTTGCCAAGGCTGCGAGGCTGCAACCCAAGCCGCAGGACGCTGCCCGAACAAGCCCCTCACTGTTTCTATAGCGATTCGAAACTATGATGTGGCGCGTTTCGGCGCCCTTTAAAGGTTTCAAACCCTCCGCTGCAGCGTTAGGCAAGGCTGTAACCCAAGCCGCGCTGCTGAACTCTGCCCGTTGCACACTGCCCCACTTGCCCGACTTCCTAACAGTGTCGAAACAGCCGTTCGCTACCTTTCGTTCTGACACACCCTGCCTGCCCGACCTTGCAAGAGTCTTGTGCTGCTTGCCACCATTGGTTCTACAGGCGGTACCTGCCCGCACTATATGTCACGCCTTCAAAGAGTCAACTGTTGTTTGCCACTTTGGTTCTACAAAGCCCTACCTGCCAAGCCTTGTCAAACATTTTTTAAAGGGATCGGCGGCACCTGGGCGACAGCCCATTCTATTTTGTTTACTTACTGTGTTTTTGTCCACTTTGGTCTGGGTAAATCAGTTTGGTCGCGAGCCTCGAAGCTTCCGTGGCTTGAGAGGCCGCCATGGCAGCCATGGCCTCCTCCTCTCAGCGGTCAAGATATGGAACACCGAAGCAAAAAAATGGATGCTTCAATAAACATCAACAAAAATCAATATCGAATGTTTTTGATATCATAAAAATTCCTAAAAATTCAAAGAATAATCCAATTCCGAGTCCGAGGTCACAATTCTTGACCATTTTGGCTCATATGCTGCGCAGCTGAGCCTCGTGACTGGTGTCTATGAGCCGGTCCACATAGCCTTCCGCGAAGCCAGACTGCTCCAACAGAAGGTAGCTGGGTCATTGGCAAAACCAAAGCCATCCCGCTCTTGGTGATCTTTCTAGCTGCCAGCTTGGGGATCGTCTGAGCATCCACCTCACCTCACAATGACCCTGCCTGTTCTTAGCGGAGCTCGCACATCGCCAGCCTGAATTGCAAAAATGGCTGGAAATGCTCTTGATTCAAGTGGAAAGATAAAACTTGTGGCTCAAAATGTGGAAACTTGTGGAAAAAATGACATGGAGGAAAAATGTCATATGAAGGCAAAGGGGTCCACGCAGCCTCTGGGGCCGAGGAACCTCCAACCTGGGACAGCTCAATGATAGGCATCTGATCTCAGCTACATGTGACCTGAGATCCCTGAGGAACTCACTCCTCCCGTGACTGTCTCAAGCGCTGCCTGACAGCCAGTGGAGTCACAAAAAGCGATTACACTCAGTGTGACTTCCGACAAGTCAGACCTTCCTCTTCCGCAAAAGGACAGAATCAAACAATCTGATAATCTGGCATTTCCTTGTGCGCAAAGCCCGTACACAGTGCCTCTAATCCTAATCGTGCTTCGCACTACCTCTCCCTGGTCCCTGGACCACCGTGGCCGCAGCCTGCAGGTCCCAGTCATGAGCTTGGAGGATCTGCTTGGCAAAATCCACATCCGCATCAGGCCCTGAAACTGAGCAGACAGGAGCTCTTATATTTTTGTCCCTAAATACATAATATAGCATAGTAATCATAATAGAAGAGGATCTATTCTATAGAAATACCAGGTATCTAAATATTATATGTATATATATACATATATATATATATATACCTACTTTGAGCTTCAAACTAACAGGCTTGCGGAAGAAAGAAGACAAGTCAAACCGGACCAAAGGCACAGAAAACCGGCCCATCTGACTCCAGTGGCAACATCTCCCAAGGGCGCCTAAGCTGTCCAGAAAAATGATCAGTTTCTGATCCTGTCAGCTGCAACCATTCTTTTCATCAGTTCAGCTACTCTGCATAGACTGCTGATGGATGACAGTCCTGGTCCATGGCAATGTTTTGAAGTACTCGAAGACGTGGCCAGCTTTGGGGGTTGAATCCCGAAGATGTCGTCGAGTCTTTTAGCATCTTCTGTTGCTTTTGAGTCTAGCCACCTAGCCAATTTTTTTGTCTCCGCACGTTAGAAGATTTTTCTTGTTTCCAGAAGGTGGTGTCAATGTGTTATCTGCTCGCCATGTGCTATGCTATGCAATGCTTATATAGCTGGAGCCAACAGCGCGACAGCTTTGACCTTGGCATCTCAACAAGGACAGGACGAACTCGGCAGCGCTTCGGCAGAGCATCGGCGCCTCTCGAAGCATCGCTGGAACAGGCCGTTCCAAGTGATGTATTGCCTGGACAGCAGATGTCGCAAGTTCCGTCCAGCCGTCCCAAAACCCTCCAAAACCCCATGGTCAGCATGACTTCCTTTCCCCATTAAAATAGCCATTTTGGGGCAACTATCTAGTGTCTTGAACCGTGGAATCCACTGCTCGAACGACAGCCATCTTGGCTGTGTCTCATCCAAACACAATTGATAGGACAAAGTAAAAGTGCAAGGACAGAGAAAGGTAAAACGGCAAAAGTGTGGAAAGAGTTGAGACTCGCTTTGCATTCCCACAAATGCGGTTGAGTTGGCAAAAACAACAGTTTGTCTTGCCTTCAATGCGCTTGCAAGGACATTGCAAGGCTTCGTCTCGCAGAGATGGCTTCTGGAGAACCATTGGTACCTGAAACATTGCCAAAAGACAATACATGGATCTGAAAATACCGTAGCCGGAATCCCATGGTTGATCAGTACTTTTCCCATCAAAATTGCCATGTTTTTGGGATCCCATTTTTGGACAAACCCACGACTTCCCAGAGCCCAAGACAAGCTGGAGGGGCAACCATGAGGTCCAAGTAGTCGCCCAACAGGGCAACGGCGGCTCCAATCTCCTGCTCAGAAGGTTTAAATCGATCATGACTCGACAGTCATGATGTCATTTGCTTCACATATCTTCACATCAAACTCTCCTGTTGCGACTTGCAAGAAGAGATGCCATCCACCACCTCCCAAAAGCCAGGATATGACAGGAGAGTGAGCTTAGAACATCTTCGAATATGGAATCTGAACCAAACTGGCTGACCGTTGAGCGCAAATCGGAAGAAGATGCTGACGGTGTTGACCTCAGGGCATCGATGCAAATCTCGATTCAATTTTGGAGCTGAACCGCTGAACCCCGGGGATAGCGGACGGATCAGAGCAAAACGTTTGACGATGTTTGACGATGTTTGACGTTTCATCTTTTACTGAATTGCAGCCCAAGTCAGTCCAGTCCGGCCGTACAGCGGGTGGTGGCTTTCCAACTGTCAAACCACTCCGTTGGGTTAACTGGTCATCTGCGCACATTGAAAGCGGGTCATCTGCGCACATTGCAAACGAGTCATCCGCGCACAGAGAAACCGGGTCATCCGCACACATAGAGCGGTCATCCGCGCACATTGATGCTGGGTACCAGCCCTTTAGGCTTTGGTTGTGGGGTTCACGTTCCTCTGCACACAAATGCACTGCACCTTGATCGCCTGTCCTCAGAAGCACTGCACCTTGAACATAGTCCGGGGCAGGGGCGGGGGGGACAACAGCGTTCATGTTCCTCTGCACACAAAAGCACTGCACCTTGATCGCCTGTCATCTGAAGCACTGCGCCTTGAACATAGTCTTGGGATGTCTTGGGCAGGCGCGGGGGGAGGGGACAAAGGCAATCATGTTCCTCTGCGCACAAAAGCACTGCACCTTGATCGCCTGTCATCTGAAGCACTGCACCTTGAACATAGTCTTGGGCAGGGGCGGGGGGGAGACAAAAGCGTTCACGTTCCTCTGCACACAACAGCACTGCACCTTGATCGCCTGTCATCTGAAGCACTGCACCTTGAACATAGTCTTGGGCAGGGGAGGGGGGGGACAACAGCGTTCATGTTCCTCTGCACACAAAAGCACTGCACCTTGATCGTCTGTCATCTGAAGCACTGCACCTTGAACATAGTCTTGGGCAGGCGCGGGGGGAGGGGACAAAGGCAATCATGTTCCTCTGCGCACAAAAGCACTGCACCTTGATCGCCTGTCATCTGAAGCACTGCACCTTGAACATAGTCTTGGGCAGGGGCGGAAGATGAGTTGAGTGAAGTTCAGTTGTGTGAGATGAATTGAAAGAGTTGAGTTGTGTGAACTGAGTTGCGTCCAAGCGCACGCCGGCAGTCCCCATAGCAGCCATAGCACGCAGAAGCAGCTCCAGGAGCAACACGTGCTGCTGCCTGCAGAAAGTCAAACTCTCGCGCCTGCCACACGAAAGCAACTCCAGCAGCTGCCAGTGCCGAGCCTGCTACACGAAAGCAGCTCCACCAAATGCTACACAAAAGCAGCTCTTGAGTGAGTTGAGTTGTGTGAGATGAGTTGTGTGAGTTGTGAGATGAGAGGAGTTGTGTGAGATGAGTTGTGTGAGTTGTGAGATGAGTTGTGTGAAAGAACTTGGGTGAAGTTCAGTGAGAGGACACGAAAGCAGCTCCACCAAATGCCACACGAAAGCAGCTCTTGAGTGAGTTGAGTTGTGTGAGATGAGTTGTGTGAGATGAGTTGTGTGAGTTGAGTTGTGAGAGATGAGTTGTGTGAGATGGGTTGTGTGAGTTGTGAGATGAGAGGAGTTGTGTGAGATGAGTTGTGTGAAAGAACTTGGGTGAAGTTCAGTGAGAGGACACGAAAGCAGCTCCACCAAATGCCACACAAAAGCAGCTCTTGAGTGAGTTGAGTTGTGTGAGATGAGTTGAGTGAGATGAGTTGTGTGAGTTGAGTTGTGAGAGATGAGTTGTGTGAGATGGGTTGTGTGAGTTGTGAGATGAGGAGTTGTGTGAGATGAGTTGTGTGCGTTGTGTGAGACAACTTGGGTAAAGTTCAGTGAGAGGAGGAGCAACGCAGGAGGAGAAGGAGGAGAAGGCGCGGAATACAAGCCTAAAAACAAAAACCCCACACAGAGATGTGAGGAAAAAAACCACACAGTGATGAGTTGTGTGATGATGTGAAGACAAAAAGCAACAAGAAGAATCATGTTACAGAGATACAATGACAAAATCACACAAGAGTAACATGCACAGACGACCAACGTCTGACGTGCACAAACGACCCACTTTTGACGTACACAGACGACCCCCCAACCCTCAGGTGCCCCAGGTGCCCCCGCACTCCTCCAGTCCTGAGTTGCAAGGACTTGGCCATGTCACCTGTGAGCAAGTCCACACATGTCCAAACAAGAATGTCACCATCACCACTAATCACTCACAAACTGTTGGGCAGTTCCATGTCGCACCTCGGGGAGGGATCCAAGCCTACAGACGCTATTCCGAAACGCATGGGTCATTTCAGAGGAACAAACACCTCAAGAACCAGATTCACTTTTCGTAGATAGATATATATATATATAGAGAGAGAGAGAGATAGATATAGATATAGACATAGATATAGATATAGATAGATAGATAGATAGATACATAGACCGTATGTTCAACAGAGTTTTCTGTCCACACATCAGTCTCATCCATGCACTTGACTTGAGACCCGACAGTTCTGCAACATCGTTGCAGTTGGTGGGGCTAGCACTTCTGGGAGCATCCTGTCCAGACCAGACGCAGCTACAGAGCATTCGAAGTTGAGTCAATTGAAGCCTATGGTTGATCAGGTTTCCTACAGAACGCACGCTAATGGTGCGTCTGCTTGAATATGCCGCAGACAATTTCTGAAATATGTTGGGTCACACGAGATGACTCGCTTCTGACAGAAAAGTAATGCAAGATATTTGGTGACACGAAGATCATCCAGATAGTTTCAAACGCAAAGCCATTCACAAAGCCTCACTGCACAAACTTGTCATCACCACAAGCTTGCCATTGCAATGTGATGCTCAATGATTCAACAAGGGGATCGTTTCAACGCGATCATTTGCATCAGGTAAATTGCACTCTTGGACTGATATCAAATCCAATCAAGTCAAATCAATTCAAACAAGCAAAGTCTTGACAGTTTGACGCTCATATCAGAAAGCGGATCGGATTGCAACTGCCAACTTTTTTTGTCATGTGGTTGCTATCCTTTGAACCATTCTTGGCAGGCACAATGATTGAAATTGATTGGATTCAATTGGCGGATCATGGCCATTGAAAGCTGACGGTATCTTTGGGTATACCGTAAATTCGCAACTTGGATTCGCTTATCATCTAATCAATTCTCTTTTTGTCGCATTGACAGCACCTTAACAAGCCATTTCGCTGAAACGCTAGGCAAGATGCGTTCTGAGTCGCTAGAGGAGGTCTGAAGCAGTCAGGATATGGTCGGATCCGAGAGATCCCACGGCTACCATTGGGTTTGTGGCACAAAATCACCATCAGACAATATCAGACACCCGTTCTGGTGAGACCGGAGTGAGACCATCCAAAAACCAACGTGTTCTTCATTGAGGTGCAAATGTTGCAACTAAGCTGTGACTAGCCTCCGGTAATTGAACATCGCTATGGAAAATGGCCCATTTACTTCGATGATTTCCCTAGTAAAAAAATGTAAAAATTGTGATTTTCCATAGCTGTTGAATTACCCTTTTGGATCAAGCAGTTCAAACAGCAGTTCTCTCAGTTCTTTCATACTTTCCAAACATCACCTCCAGAGCCTTCATCGGCCTCAACGGAATGTACGCAGCATACACAATGTATGAGTGAAAATTGAGAAATTGAGAAATTGAGAATGAAGAGAAAATTACAACGATCTATACTTGATGTAAATTTAACATACCATGTCGTATCACTGAGAACTTCAAGTTTCTGGCCCTCTGACCGAAAGAGTCCCATGCTTGGCACCACGACCTTGTCTGCTTCAGCTTGGGGTATCTGGCTTGGTTCTGCGAGTTCCAAGTGTGATCGTGCCTGGCAGTTCCGTGGCAGCGATGGTCCCTCTGATATTGGGTAACAAATCGATGCCTTGACCATGCCCAAGGCTGGCCTCTTCGGGCAAACCTCTCACAGGGAGCGGAGGTCCTGATGATCAAAAGATCCAAGTTTGGTTCGGAAGGTAGCCATGGGAAGGTGGTCGTGATTGGTGGCTCTACTGGTGATGGTTTCACCAGAATTTCGCAAATAGAAGCACACACACAGCCATAGCACCCACTTGTTCATGAGAAAACCGAAGAAGCTATTCATGGCCTATGCCGGCATCACCCATTTCAGCCGCTTTTCGCCAAGCATGACGTACAGCAATCTCAGGACACGCAAGTTCCAACTTGTAGTGACGACAGCTGTCGCTCAAACTACAAGTCAGGCAGGATCAAAATGGATTCCCAAGCAGCAGCAAGCACCAGCGCACAAGCAATAGCCTTGCATTCGTCAAACCTCTCAGGCTTGCAACTGAGGCTGGTTCAGTTTGCCAATTGAGCTGAAGATCAACTGGATCGGCTACAGGATAGGTTCGTCCTGCAGTCTTCCTGGCAGTTTCAATGAAGTCTTGAAAAGCCATGCAAAACTCCGTGGAATATGCTTTGTTCAAAGATGATGCATGATGAATCTCATAGTAAATATTATAATACAACATCATACATCATACATCATTTGTATATGAATATAGCCTATATATATAGTTCCGTCATAATTAATATCTTACTTTACAATATTTTTATAGTAATGTTGGTATATGTTGGTTGCATTCATAGTATAAATTTCATGCCAAACTCGGACTCCAAGGCCTGGGAGGGTCTTCCACCACATCGTGTCCAGGAGGCTGGCAGCGAAAAAAACTAAGGGTTTCCGTTGCGTGTATCAAAACGAGCCGTTTTTGAGCCATGGCTTGCCTACCATGGGGATGTTATATGGAAAAAAAAACTCGAATTCATAGGGGTATACTATGTGTATATTATATATATATGGCAATATTGGCAATATTGGCATGGAGCCTTACACACACAAATGCATCTTGTTATCTGGTAGAAATGTGCTCAATGATGCAATTGCATCACTTAAGAGCATCATCTGAACATAGAGACATGTACTTTGACAAAAATCCTGGGGCCCGGAAAACGCACCGAACCCATATATATATATACATATACATATATACATATATACATATATACATATATACATATATACATATATACATATATACATATATACTTATATACATGTACACACCCCACATTTCAATGCACAAGGTAGGACGCACTGGCAAGTGCAAACTTTTCCATCGCCCAAGAAGTCGCGTGTCAGCCACCAGCGCAAAGCCACAAGCACCAGCGCCACTTGATGAGCTCGGCCACGTAGGACAGCAAAAAGAGGGAGAGCCATCAGCACGTGCTCGAAGTAGAGCTGGTAGGGGCAAAGCTGGGCACCAACCACTTCTAGCAGGCACGGTCAGCAGGTTTACCAAGGACGAGTGTAGCAAAGGTACGTTTGTCTTTTCCCTGCGAAGCAAGCAGTCACCAGCATGCCAAAAATGCAAAGGTCGCAGCAAAGGCCCGCACTGTTGACTTTGAAGAGGGAGAGGGAGCTTTGCAAGTAGGTGTAGGGCTGAACTTCCTGTTACAAGGGCTCGAGAGCTGAATAGGCACGCAGCGACATCAGACAAAGGAAGTCTTGCATAAGTCTACCAACTTTGTGGAGATGTACTGCGGCACCACCTCGAAGTCCACCAGGCGCCAGCTCAAGCGAACTGCTAATCCCCAACACACTGATAGCTTATTCCTATTGCCTTCAAAACTGGTATGAGCTGGATCCAAGCAGGTGGTACTCCAGGTCCTTGAGGGTCAAAAGAAATAAGACATCAGGTGGCCGAACAGGATGTTCACGGCAGCATCGGAAAACCTCATCCGAACGCCCAGCACCATAGGAAGTGAGGTGAGTAGCGCCGATCCACGAACACCATTCCAGCTGCCATGCAAACTCACACAAGGCTTTCACTAGAACTTCAGGAAGTGGCTGTCTGTGTTAGACAGAAATCAGCGAGTGCCACCTGACTGCCCTTTCACATGCAGGCGGCCTCTCAGGCCAAGTTGACAGAAGCGGTGTTGAACTGCCACACTTAGTTGCGTCAAAATGCTGCAGGCTACCCCATCATCATGTGACCATTCTGCGTATACTTCGTGAGCTCATACAGCAATGAGAGGAGCACCACCAAAAGCCTTGAAGTTCAACACTCGGCATATGCTGTTCACACCAACACTGCAGTAACTGCGGCTGCTTTGCCTCCAGATCCAAGGTGTGCTCAGTTACCATCGGAACAGCCGCTACAGTAGCCCACCTGCATTAACTGTGCCCAACATGCGGACGAGGTCCAGGGTAGACGGCCTCACCTGCCGTCAGTGGAGAGGACCTTGAGCAGTCGGCAAGATCCAGGCTCTCATAGCCAAGCCCTCCAGCCCAGTCGCACTAGCCATCGCCACAAAATGGCAAAGCCCTTTTTGGTAAGGTTGTGCCACTGCAGTCGTTTGGATCTTTCTAACGGCGTGCTGTCCCCTGAGCTCCACTTGTTTCTTCTTGCCCTTGCAAAGAATCCTTCATTCCACAAGTCAAGTGTTGGTTGCAAGACTGGTGCTGATCCTCCATGCAATCCCAAACCCACAAAAGCAACATCTGACGACTTCAGTGACCCGTTTGGCCACCATCTTCGCCACCGCATCTGCCATCCATGCCATGAGGTATCAGGGTTTTCAACAAAGTAAGCAGGCTCCGCAACCTAACAGTCAACATCATCACGGAGAAAGTCACTGCGGCAATACCCATCTGACACCTTCATGCGCATGGACGCACGCAGGCAAGGGATTCCTGGTAGGGGCGCTCGGTCTCAACAGAAGGGGCTCCACGACGATGCATCCACTTGTCAAAGGACTGGAAAGCCCCATTCCCAGGTCATGAAACCAAACCGAGAGCTGCAAGGCAAGAGGAGGCGGCAAAGGTTCCAGTGTGGGCCCATCAATTATATTCTAAGCAGTGTTGAAAAACATGGGGCCGTCATAGACATCATCACTAATCGCAACTGGCCTGGAGCGCTGTAAAACAGCATTCAGCGTTGGTGCGGCAGACCCCTCCTTGTCCACTGCTTTGAACCCCGCTGGTGAGTCGCCGCCTGTAAGATACTTGCCGCTTCCGGCTCCAGCATCAAGTCACTTTTCCAACACATAGGCAGTCAACTCGCCGACACTGATATGCTGCAACCGACGAATTTTTCTCCGCCCGGTTTCCCTA